AACAGCCTGATTTATGTACAAAACAATGAACGAAAAACAAATATGATTTACAGCAACAAAACACAAACACTGAATTACAGGCACATACAGAATGTGGCATGGTTAAACTAGTCTATTGGCCTCAAACACTCCCCCTAACCTGGGACTGTGGTGTTACAGTACAACATAAGAACAAACTATAAAAAATCAGTAGAAAACCTGACTCGTCAAATCGATACAAAGCAGAAAAAACATCTTATTAAAACACAGACAGGACTTGCTGTTCATTTTGATGTGAACTTTACAAATAATTTAACAAATTATCAGTTTTGACCCTGATTTCATGGTTCAACAAATATAGAAATGTGATAGTGTGAAATAAGAACATTCTCAGGTTAAAGTTTTTGGTAAAGGTAGATTACCATAAAGTTCTGGTCACATCAACTTGAAAGGTAGTTCACATGTTCATTGTAATGCTAATATTAAAAAAAAAAATTATGCAAAATTACGATTTGGACACTTATTTCACAGAACATGGAAACATGCAAATTTAGGACATTCTCGGGGTTTTTCGTTGTTAAGGGAGTTTACCATGAAATTGTGGTCAAATTAACTTGAAATTTAGTGCACATGGTCATTGTTAGATGAAATTTTTCTATGCCAACTTACGATATTACCTAGAGTTCATGGTTCATTGAACTTCAGCATATGATGCGAGCAGGTCACATATTTCTATGCCCCTGCCTTAGGCAAAGGGGCCATTAAATGTTGCCCTTTACCGTCTGTCTGTCTGTCCGTCCATACCATTTTCCTTTCCACACACTTAAGTTTTTCTAATCCAAATTTCATGAGACTCATATATGATGCTTAGAACCAAATTCACAGAGTTTGAATTTGGGCATTGAGCCACTTCCTGTTCTAGAGTTATGTCCCTTTATAACTTAGAAAATTGCCAATTTTTCCGTTTCTGTACTCTAACATAAGTTTTTCTCTTCCAAATTTTATGAAACTCAAACACAATGCTTAGAACCACAACACACAGACAGAATTTAAATTTTGAAAGTATGTCCGTAACCATTCCAGACTACTACCCCTTTATAACTTGGAAATTTGCAAATTTTCAGTTTCCGCCCTCTAACTTAAGAAACACAGCAAGCATACTGGTTTCATGAAAAACAAGGACAGTCAGTACCAAAAAAATACCATAGTTACAGCTACCTCATTTGGTAAAACAAATTTAGAAGATTTCAATCTCGGGGAAAAAAATCCATAACTCATAAAACCCATAGTGACAGGTATTTCAATGAGAACCTCGTCTTACTTCATGAGAACTGACCCAAATACTTTCTTGTAATTGTAACACATTTAAAGCATAACAAAACCCTACAGTCAATCATTGCAAATCAACTCTTAAAGCTGAAAACTAATTAATCAAGTCCAATTTAATTGTTAAATACGAAAAATTTTTAAACTAAGGTAAAGATAAAAATAATGGAAAATAAATTGAACTCATGGTCCTTTTTATGAAGCAGTATTCTACCCTCACAATGAAACATTTTAGAAACCAAGTTTGAGACAGGATATTAGCTAAGCTGTTATAAGTTGATCTTTGAATTTGTATGGAATAGGGTTCATCTTCAATACCAGCAAGTTGAATTGACAATTCTAATGCAATTATTTTGTATCAATGGTTCTGATTGGATGATAGTAAGCGTAAAATTCTCTATCTTCTTGTCTGTAACTAAGGAAGCCGACATTTTGAATTGTGGAATGTATTGACATGCAATTTTTACAATAATAAGCAAAAAAACTCACATGTTGCACCTAGAAATCTTCTTTTTATCAAATTTTATTACATTCTGAAGCGGCCAAGAAGCCAGAAAACGCCCGGTGTTTACGTTTGACGCCGGAAGCATACATATAACGTCACCTAGTTTAGGGGCCAAAGAAGATAACATCTTTTCGCAGAATTTTCTTTAATTAGAATTTTACACTGAAATAATGATTGAAATTGAATTATGTACTTGTTTTGCATTAGAATAGAGATAACTGTATTGTATTTGAAGCTTTGCGGATGTCCATCGGTAGTTTTACTGTCGCAAATACCCGTTTACCTGTCTCCGCTACGCGTCGCCAGGTAAACTAAATTTGCGACAGTAAAACTACCGATGGACGTCCGCAAAGCTTCAAATACAATACAGTTATCTCTTAAGTCAAGCTCTGTAAAATTTATAAGCTTTTTGGCATTATTAGGTCTTGATCTGATTTATTTGGATTATTATTTGTTTTTCTTCTGCAACTTTTTTTGTTTCTGAAATGTTGATTTTCACCACTGTGGATAAGATATTTGGTATATGCTATTGTGGATTCATAATTATTCGTTGGGTACCAATTTTCATGGATTTCGTGGGTAAAGGGAAACCACGAATTACAAATTTTTTATAAGGTTGTATGCATACTTTAGCAAAACCATGAAATCCAATATCCACCAAAATGCAAGTTTTCCTCAATCCATGAAAATTGGTACCCACGAAAATAAATGAATCCACAGTATTTAACAGTTAATACGCTTTTGAAACTCACCCTTTTTAACCAAACACTTTCCCATATGGGAGTTATCGCTTCTCCTCAGAAACCATAAAAGTTATCACTTAAATTTTTCTCCAAAATGTTTGTTACTTCCTCAGGATGATCTATTCAACTTGGACCAAAACAATTCTTTTACATGTGAAAGAAGTTATTTCTTTTTGTGTTCAATATTTACAGTATGTCAGCGCAACTCAAAAGAGACCTAAAGTCTGTGATATGAGGTCCTTGGAACATAGGCAGGAAATATAAGTCAAGGTCGTGTTCTAAATTTTGGTCGTAAATGCAACTTTTGCTATAACTTCATACTAATACATAATAAAGTCGTGATGTCTTTTGCATTAGGCTGGACGACATATGACCCAGAAAAGGGTCCACCTTAATTGACCTTGTGTAACCCAGAAGTAGCTATGTTTGCGCTAATTTGATGTGAAAGTACCTAGATATATTTTTAGAATCCGTGAAGTAACCTATCATATGAAAGCAGAAGTGACTTGTAAACTGGAAGTAGCAAATTATCTCCCTTATTTCAGGCAAAAGTATATCAAAACTATATATGTAAATTTGTGTAATAAGAGCTATCATATAACACTGGAAATAGCATTTTGTTCACCAGAAATAACGAAATATCTCTCTTATTTCAAAGGGATACATAACAAAGAGGCACACCTGTGTGTATCACTCACCCTGTGCAAAAAATACCATGTTTGCTATTTAGGACTTTTATAAGCACATATGATAGTTACTCTTTCTGCTGCTAAACATTTTTGTAATTTTCATGTTTAACCTAGCACCTAAAGGTTTTCAGATAACACCCAAAACTGATAAAAACAGTAAAAATCAACATTTCAGGGCAATAACTCCAAACCAGTTGTCAAAAAATATCAGTAGATAGATCTTGTCATGCTGATAATTTTTGCGGTTTACACTTAACCTAGCTCCTACAGTTTTCGAAATAACAGCAAAAAAAGTTGAAAAATTGAAAAAATGTAAACTTGAGGGGCAGTAACTCAATAAACTGTTATCACAGAGATATGTCTCGCCTTTTTGTAATTTTGATAATGAAATGTTGAAATTAAAATTGCAATACTTTAACATGCTAGTAATGCAAATATTCAAAGTCGATGAACCATGACTGAAGGTACATGGCTAAACAATCTCCATGGAATGAGATGTGCCAATGCTAATACAACTGTATACCAAATACCATTGACTTTTTATATGTTGTTCCCTTTAAACAAACCTAAACACAAACATTAACTTGTAAACTATGTAAAAGTTTCAAAGTCAATAAACCTCAGGGGTGGGGCTATATAATCTCCATGGAAACGATACTTGCAAATGCCAATAAATTTGCATACCAAATATCAATGACTTAACATTAGCAGTTCATCTTAAACTGATCTAATCACAAACTAATACATGTAAACTAAGCAAAAGTAAATAGACCATGACTGAGGGGGCGGGCCAAATATTCTCCATGGAAATGAGATGTGCTAATGCTAATACAACTGAACATCAATTAACATTGGCCTACCACTAATGGTTCCCCTTGAACTGACCTAATCACAAACTAATACATGTAAACTTAGCAAAATTTTCAAAGTCTATAGACCATGACTAAGGGGGCGGAGCCAAATAATCTCCATGGAAATGTGATATGCCCATGTTTATACAACTGCATACCAAATATCATTGACCTACCACTAGTTTTTCCCCATAAATTGACCTAATCACAAACTAATACATGTTAACAATGAAAAGTTTCAAAGTCAATAGACCTTGACTGAGGGGGCGGGGCCAAATAATCTCCATGGTAATGAGATGTGCCAATGCTAATACAACTGCATACCAAATATCATTGACCTACCACTAGTGGTTCACCATGAACTAGACCTAATCACAAACTAAAACATTGTTGACGCCGTCGCAGTCACCGACACCGGAAACAGCATACCTTTGTCTCGCTTTTTGACTCCATCAAGGCGAGACAAAAACTAATGACATATTTTTCTGAAATTTTCAGAGTTAATATATTTTTGTAGTGCTGATCACTTTAGCATTTACACTTTTAACCTAGCTCCAATTTTACAGGGTAGATCTATCTTGTCCTGTTGAACATTTTAAAATTAAGACTTTTAACCTAGCTCCTATAATTTTCACAATAACAGCCAAAAACTACAAAAAAAAAAATTATTTCAGGGACAATAACTCCAAAACAGGTCAGTAGATTTTTATCCTATTTTCCAGGTTGATACATCTTGTTGTGCTGAACTGTTTTTCTGTTTTCACATTTAACCTAGCTCCTAATGTGTTATGCAAGATGGAGACATAGATTTCAATGATAGTCCAACAGTCAACATCAATTCTGATCTAGCAACTATTATGTTCTCTAATGGACAAGGGCCTGTAAAAAGAGACTAAATAAAGACTAGTATAATTCAAATATTTATTATATTAATTTTCAACAATAACAAATAAAGTAATACACCTTGTAAGGAAGAAAAGAAATAAATATGCATGTTTTAAAACAAAGGTACAGGGAAATTGCCAGCAATTGAATTTTTACAAGCAGTGACAAAAATAAATATAATGATATACAGAACTGTTGTTACGTCATGGAATAGACTTGATTTTGCTCAGTTGTGAATTTGCTGATATGCATTTCTCTTAAGTTAAGAAACTATTGTTAATACTTTTTAAATAGTTTTGAAGACCAGTAAATTTCAGATAGAAATTTTTAGTTTTATTTATTAAGTACGTAATAAATGATGTATAGTATTACACTTGTGACAAGATATCAATAACATTGTTATGAGGGCTACACTGAAAGTTAAGCACATGTATTACATACACTTTCTAGTCTCAAAGAAAATGTTAAATAACATACATTGTCACAAACAATTTACTCTATAATCTGCAAAAGTTTAAGCCACATCATAAAAATATTCATAATTTTCCCCTCCCTATTCAATGAAAAGGTTTTATAAAAAAAATCTATTTTGACTATTAGTTCACTAAAATTTAATGTTGCTTTTCAATAATTTTATTTACTTAAATTGATAGAAAGCTGTCATAAACTTTGCACAATATATGTTTCCAGAAGACAATAAAGTTGACAACTTCATTAGTGTTTGAGTATATATGACTACATTTTTATAATGTTCTAGTTTTGTCCCTTCAACATAATGTCATCAATATCAAAAGTAATCAACATTCATAAACAAAAACACAAACATTTATTACTTCTCTCAATATAACCCTGACATTATAAAGTGCAGAATTTGTAACAACTCTTGAAGCGATGATCTACTCAATTCTAAAATGTTGTGAAAATGAAATGCAGTCATACAATCTGTTATAGAACTTCTTCAGAATATCTAACTCTTCTACATTAAACTGATTTTCTATAGAATACAACAAAACAATGTTATTTTTACAACAAAACTGTCATTTTTGTGTTGTCTAAAAAGATATATTTTAATTTACACTTCTGTATACAAGAAATATAGTAAGAATGAAAGAAGCAAAACAACCTCTGTCACAATAGAACATGGTTGAATATTACTATTTTCACTAAGAAAAACAACTTGATAATTGACAATCCAGATTTATATCAAATAATTACTCTTACTAATTTTGAGGGTTATTATCATCAACAACTTGACCAAAACCTTTAAACATTCTTTGTTTAATTTATGAAGAACAATAACATGTATTTGGTGGGATTTCTAGATGAAATAATGAACAAAGCATTGCAGCAAAATCAAAGCTTAAAAGCATTTTGATCATTCTTAAGTTTTCCTGCAAATTTATCATCTAACGAGTTTGAACACTAGGTATATAAAAGTATTATAATTGGGAGTATGAAATCTTTAAACCATTGTTGACAAATAAATATTTTAAATTGAATTCTTATTAGTAATTTGATCAATTCCCTTAGAATATTTATATTAGAGGTCTCCCTGAGCCTGTTTATGTAACTTTTATATCCTATGTGTCACAGCTATAAAGTGAGGCACATATTTATCCTGGATCACTACACAAGTCTCGAGTGTATATTTATTGCCAAAAGGATTACAGTATCAAGACCTGTGTTTGTTTTCAAATTCCTTTTGCCAGTCTGGTATGAACTGCTTCAGAAGTTTTTCTTCACATTTCTCATAGACCAAAATATAATACTAGGCCCTCCTCTTTAATCCTGAATATTGGTTGGCAAAACAACGCATTTAGACAAAATTTCACAATTTTTAAAAAACATTTTGATGCAGCCCATTTGCATTATGATATACATAATGAAGAATGACTAAAAAATGTCTATCAAAAACCTTAATACCACAAAAAAGTGTATATGCCAAAATTGAGGGAAATACTATAACCCCACTTGATACATAACACATGTATACATTATATCAAAAGATACGGAGATTCATTGATTGTACCGCTACACACTACAAGCTGCAGATATATTGGATTAAATGTAATGGTGTTGCTAACTAGGTGATAACATTTGATTGTACTTTAACAAAATGTATAATAGTTTCTGTTATATGAAAATGCTTTCCATGATCATAAAATGCTGTAACACTACCTCATCTTACCTATATATTTACTTATATATGTATTGGACAGCTGTTTGAGATGACGTTTTAAGTATGTAATGCTTATTATGCAGTGTTTTAAGTACCTTATTTTACTGATATATAATATATATATACATGTATATATGTAGGACAGCTGAGATAACGTTAAGTTTGTAATGCTTAAATGCATCAGACTTGCCTACCTACGTTCAACAAGGATGCTCATGCTGAAATGTCTTTATAGATTATGAGTTAGTTATATGTTAATAGTTCTTACCATGTTTCAAGAATACGGGTACCTGTACGGTTGAGCAATAACCATGAAAATGAGGTTAAGGTCGAGTGACTAGTATTAGACTGGCATTTTTAATATCTGACATTGATTCTATATATCAAATGAAGTAACCTATTCAAAGTAACTCAGACGTTGACCTAAGTATGATATCTAATTTTGGTCACTAAACCATAAAATAAGGTTAAGGTCAAGCATCATCTGCCAGACAAACATGCTAAGCTTATAATAACTCTATGGACCAAGTATTTTAATCTATAACTCATGGTAAATGAGAAACTGACTTGATCACAGAAAATTAATGTTGACTTCAATAAGTTGATGAAGGACATGTGACGAACTGCAGACCACAAGACATTTTTGTACCAAATATGAATTATCAAACTGTTCTGCTTTCTTAAATAATGAGCATTTTACAATTAATGCAGTCACTGGCTGAGACAGTAGCTCATTGAGCCTTTCATAAGTGATGGATTCAAAAGTCCAAATGGCATGGGTTTTTTTTTTCAAGAATTTTTGCACCAAATTCTAGCAGAATTGTAAACTAAATATATATACCAATGATGTCAATGTTAAAATCAACAATGAATGAGTTTAAATATCAAACTTCTTAACAATGTCTGACCATTTCATATATAAAGCAAATTTTGATTAGGTCATTAAGTTTTTTTTATGTATTTTATGGAATGCAATAGCATATCCTTACAGCTAGCATTAAGTACTTATTGTTCAGACATAATTCCTGCAAGTTTTTCAACACTGTCAATAAATATGAGAAGCTTGACAGAACACAAAATAAATGCACCTGATGTGGGAGACAAAAAAAAACCTATCGGAACATCTACCATGTGTCTGTTTATGCAGAATTTTTTTGTTTGTTCAAATGGCAGTGTTGTAAAAATATTTCTCCATAAATCTCTTCAATGGATAACTTTATAATACATTTTGTACCCTTAAAAAATAGTTCTTTCATATTAAAGAAAACATTGTCACTGTTATAGCATACAAGCCATAATCTGTATGAACTTAATCAATCAATTTGTAGACAGAACTGTTATGGACGACAACATTATTCAGTAATGAACAAATATATCCATAATCCAGGTTTGTTGTAAAAACAAAGAATAAATACATAATGACATGAAGTACTGACATGACTTGTCTCAAATTCAAAATATAAATTGACGCACAAATTATTTGAAATGTCATCACTACAATTATAAGGCAATATACACTAATAGATAAAATAATTCTCTAAATTGCACTATATATAGAAGGAAAAAACATATGTAGAATAACAAGCAGAAAAAGATAAAAATTATGGAAGAAAACTATTCATAAAGCAAAGAAAATACAAAACTGACTATAATTATGCATGTTAATCACATTTTAATAAAAATATACATGAAATACCAACAGTGGACAAATAAAGGTTCAGTAGTTAGAAACATGCCGGGCTATATCCAGTCTTGGACAAAAACATTTTATGCAATTAATATGCAAGAATACAGATACCTTATGTAAATATAAATATTCTCATAAGAATTCTGTACTGTGAAATGGAGACAACAAAATGACAGGATTTCAAAACTATATATAAAAAATGTTGAAGAGGTAGAGACATGTTTGAAATGGATTTTGTGTGGGTGTAAAATGAAGCCAACAAAATAATTGAATATTCCCCAAAGTGCTATTGAGTATATGTGTATGCAACAGGAAAAGCTGTATAAGATCTCTGAGATCATCTTTGGTTTAAGCTAACACAATTGCAAACCAAAATTTTCTCACAAACCTTTAAAAAATATCAAGAACCAGAATATGTGTTTATAGTACACCATACCCCACCAACACTATTACATTTCCCATGTCCAGTGAACCCCAATACCTAGGTAACAAGAATGTGTACATAGTACACCGATGCCCCACTCGCACTATAATTTTCTATGTTCAGTGGACCGTAAAATTGGGGTCAAAACTCTAATTTGACATTAAAATTAGAAAGATCATATCATAGGGAACATGTGTACTAAGTTTCAAGTTGATTGGACTTCAACTTCATCAAAAACTACCTTGACCAAAAACTTTAACCTGAAGCAGGACAGACGAACGAACGAACGGACGCACAGACCGAAAAACATAATGCCCCTCTACTATTGTAGGTGGGGCATAAAAATCTTAATTTGGAATATATCACATCAAAATTAATAAATGGGGAATGTGTCCATGGGACACAGATGATGCCCCCGCTTGCATATCATATAGTAATAAAGGGACATAACTGAAGAACGGTAAAACTGACCCTACCCAAATTTGTACTTGATCTGAGTTTTGTGGTAATGAGTATTGTGTATAAGTTTCATAACATTTGGTTGAGGCAAACTAAAGTTAGAGAATGGAAACGAATAATTCAGTTTAAATAAAGTGACGCCACCAAAGTTCAAACTTGATCTGTATTTTGTGTTAATAATCATTGTGTATAAGTTTTATAAAATTTGGTTGAGGCAAACTAAAGTTAGAGAAGGGAAACCAACTTTGGGACAAAGGACATACCGAGGGACGGACAAGGGTAAAACTTAATGCCCCCTCCGCTACGGCGGGGGCATAAAAAGTGTTCTAAGTTTCAAGTTGATGTGACCACAATTTCAAGGTTAACTTCCTTAAATCAAAACTTCAACCTAATACACAACAGACAGAGGAAGACTGAGGAACAAATGGACAGACACTAAGACCAAAAAACAAAATACCCTCTTCTATCATAGGTGGGGTATAAAATGTGAAGAAATTGTGGTACAAATAATGTTAAGAAATGTATGAATCGTTTCAATTGTCCACTCCTGGTTTTTCATATTGCTATGAATAAGAATTTATTATTATTCAATGAACATTTCAAACATTAACACACAGAATCATACACATATATATATACACATTTATCACATCAAAAAAAGTCTATAAAAGTGAGCAAAATGACCAATAAACTTTGTGTATAATTTACAACAACAACGAGCTGATACAAACATTACTGTAGTATATTTATGATGAGTTTTAACCTTGTTTCTTCACATACATAATAACAAATATTCAGTGAAAACCATGTCAACATACTCAGAAGACAGCTCAAATAATAGGTGAAAAAAAAAAGAAAAATCTACTTAAATTCTTTTTGCTTAAAATCAAAAATGCTTATTCTTTTGAATTTTAATAAAGTTGAATTTGCTGATTACAAAAAATAAGTACCCTTTATCAATCACTTTCTTGAATTTTTTTAAATTTTCATCATAGAGAAAATCTGCAACTATTATCCAAATGTGTACATTTCAGAAAGTTTGATGATTCTGGGTAAAAAATGGTAAAAGGACTTGATTATACAAAACAGGAACCCCCCCCCCCCACCCATCCACTCAATGCAGACTATACTACAAGCTTAATTTGCAACTTAATGCAACTCAGTCATATAAGAGATGTTTTGTAATGTCAATAAACTAAATAGATTTTAAATGTGACATATTGTACCCATTTTGATGTGAATAGAATTTTTCAAAACTGTCTCCCGTCCTTTTCCTCATTCATTTACAATACAGTTAATAGATGCATGTCTTTTTTTATGTGAAATGCTTTTTCTTTCAATAGATTTCACTCAGACTACCAGATCCTCAAATTTTATTCAATCCAAAATGTAGTAAGGCTTTTTTATAAATGACTTCAAGTAATCTGTTTTTCATAAACTTAATTTTTATCCACTGAAGTAAGTGGGTCAAGGTTGCATGATTTTGGAAGGAACAGGATGTTGTTGTTCTGAATTCTGACAAAACGTAATTCTCTAAATCTAGGCCATTACGGTTCATAAAACTGCACCTGTTGTGTAACAAAAATAAATAAGTACATGGATGTCATTTATTGAGTATTTAGCCATACCTTACATATACAAGAGGAAAAGATTTTTGTTCATATTCTTTTGCATTTTTTTAATGAAAATTCTTGCATTAAAAAGTTAAATGACAATTGGGATTTTTCTTTGTTCTAAAATATTCGGAAATATCTTTCAATTTTTATTATGTGACAATAAAAAAAAAACATGATTTTCCCACCCAAGAAATCAAACAAAAAAATACAATGAGTATGAAAATAGATACTGAAAGTAATTTAATCCCACCCTCTCCATATTCCAATATCTGTTTTGTTTCATCCCCCTATCCCCCATCCATTCAATAATACGGCTACTCAATACACCTGTCTTGATGGGAAGTTAAGTCACCATTATTTAAAATCCTTACATCATTAACAACCTTTCAAAATGTATATACACATGTAATAATTTTACACTTTTTGATAGTTAAATTAGGGAAGATACAAGGCTATTCTAAAGATAAATGAACTAGAGGTTCTAAGGAGCATGTGTTGGTCATTAAGCAAGTATGAAAATCTATCCTGAAAGGCAAATATAATCAATTTTACCCTGTTTGTTCTATGGTTGTAATGTTGGATGGTTGGGTCAATGGGTTTACTATTAAACAAACACACTATGATTTCAGAGATTACAAGTAGAATTTTACTTATGCATTTTCCCATAGGTCCAATGTAAAAATGTTCAATAATAACAAACACATTGGATTTAAGATGCTGTCATTATGTAATTTTCCAGAAAACAAACTTAGGATTTTATCATCAAAACTTTGGGAGACAGATCAAAAATTTCTCCTATAGTCACTGTGGGTGGCCATGTTGTTTGTTTGGCGGGAGAATAATACGGGAAAAAAATTGCTTACTTTTGGTTTCCATTAACTCACTGGTTTGAAAAGGCTGTTAAATAAGTCCCATGAAAAAGTAAGAAAGACAAGATAAAGTAAATGACAACATCATGTATTAGTTTTTATTTTGAAAAGTCACAACATGATTGTTTGACTATTGTTTGTTTAACAGATAGGGGTAAATGAAATACTTGCTACTGGACATTAAACAAGCAACAATCAAACATGTGGTGAAATCTCAAATAAAATCTGCATTCTATTCTAAAATTACATGGTAATGGGAAAAGACTGGCAAGAAATTTACAAAAAATATACCTGCATTTTCTATTGTAAAGAGAAATACTGTATGTGGAGCAAACAGTTTTCATCTTGAGCACATTTTTTTTTTTCACTCAGTCACTTTTTTAGGTAATGAATATCTGTTTCTGGACATTACTTTTTCAAAGATGAAATTTGAACTGGATTCGTAATTTTTTATACTTGTGCAGTTTGACTGTATAAATATAAACAACCTTATTCATTCTCACTCTATAGTTTCCAAGTACAATTAAATTGTAAAGTAGCTGAAGAAGTTACAACATCTGTTTTTCACACTGAGCTTAAGGAATCATTTCTTTTTTAGGATAGAGTTGTCTCCCCTCCATTCACACTTGACCATCTACACACTGACAATGAATTCAGGATTGACAAAGGAAAACCCAGCAAACTCTGTCTGGTCTAGATTCATGATAAACAATTTGTCTGTTGGCGTCATCTTCGGGGCTTCACTTGTAAACTCACGATCAAAATTGCTGACATCCTTTCGGTTTTTCTGAAAAAAAATTGTGCATGCCTTAAATACTTATGACAAGAAAAAGTAACCATTTTTTAGAGCATATGGTAATCTTCAATGCACAAACAGCTAATCGCTAAAATCTTATATGAAACCTTTATCATGTTCTTTCTAAACCTGAAAATAAAATATATATCAAGTATCAGACATCACAATATACCATGCACTTCTGTGTACGTAAAGTATTATCCTTATTTATAAAATCATAACTAATTGTAAGGTTTAAAGTGATTGTAAAAAGTGACATATTCATCAACATGCTTTGACATGTTCCACATCAATAGGACATGTACTTCAAGCTACCTCAAACTTGAACTTCAACCTTCTATTAGGGTCACTCCTCTCATTTCATATGTTTATTTATAGACCTCAAACTTGAACTTCCACCTTCTATTGGGGTTACTCCTCTCATTATATATGTTATTTATAGACCTTTAACTTGAACTTCAACCTTGTATTATAGTCACTCCTCTCATTTTACATGTTACTTGTTTTTACTGTCTTGTTGCATTTTTGAATGAAGTTTCATATTCATTGGACATACAATTAACATATACTCCATCTATGCACAGGCCACCAACATCTGTACCTAGGAGAGCCATGAAACTTCTTGTATAATACTATTGAATGTTTTACAAAAGAAGAAACCTGATTTTTTTTTGTTGTGTAATCCATTGCCAATTACAACAAGAATGCTCATGCCTGTGTAATGCTAATCATGCCTCCAAACATAACTTAAATCATCAGAAACCAGGAAGTAGATAAGTGACAAATCCCAAAAGCACACACATGTTACAATTCATCACTGCCAAGCTGCTGACCAAATATGAAATAATTCTGTTCAGCAGTACTTGAAAGAGAGTCAAAAGATACCAAAGGAGACATTCAAACTCTTAAGTGGAAATAAACTGACAATGCCATGGCTAAAAAAGAAAAAGACCAACAGACAAACAACAGTATACAAAACACAACATAGAAAACTAAAGACTGAGCAATACAAACCCAACCAAAAACTAAGGGTGATCTCAGGTACTCAGAAAGGGTAAGCAGATCCTGCTCCACATGTGGCACCCGTCGTGCTGCTCATGAAGTACAAACCTGGTGATTAGTCTAATTCGGTAGATCACATTCTGGGAAAAGGGGACAGGATTGTAGTTACGAAAATTGGAACATATCCCTCGTCATCTGTGAAACAGATATTCCATAACAGTCAACCAACTTGTGATGGTGTCAGTAAAATTTTTGAAGAGATGATTTCAACTTCACTGCTTGGAACTCTTAGTTTAATAGCTCCCTTGTGAGCAGCAACCCTCTATCAAAGAAATCATGATAGGAAATACAAGCCCTGGAATATGGTATCAACTGGGAGATCTATACTCCTTATGCAGGCACTGTTGGAATGTTGCTACATAGAAATGGAAAGTTCACGATTCTGAAGCTAAAATCATCTCTTTTTTTGTAAAGTTTTGTTTTCAACCATCCCTCTTGTCAATTTCTAGATGTAAGTCAAGATATGAGGCAGACTTAACTTGGGACTTGAGACATGAGACGTGCAATGACTTTTAATTCAATTCAACCTATTGAAAAATTCAAAGTTTTGGCAGACAGGAAGCAGGAGTATGACAGATCCCAAAAAGTGCTCTCACTTTACAACTCATCACTGTCAGACTCCTGACAAAATATGAAGTCATTCTGTCCTGTATTTTTTTGATACACTTAAATTGTGATCAAGTTGGACTCAAACAGTTGGTTTTTTTTTTCACAAATGAAGAATTTGTTTAAATTATTTACTCATGACAGACACCAAATGATGGTCATAGCTCACACCAACCTTTTGTACTGGTATGCCAAACAAGGTATAGTTGTTGACCTGTAATTATCTATTAAATACAATTGAACTAAAGGGCTTCAAAAGCTATCAACTAAAGCATCTGCAAGCATTTAAGGGCACTAAAGGAATAAAGCTTAGGCTTTTTACCTTGTTATCACATTACTTTTACTTGACTAAAGGAATACAAATTCTTGTCAAAAAATGAAATAAAAATGTCAAAAATCAGATCTATTCAAAATAATGTTTAATATGAAAAATAAAGAAGATTATTTGTTACCATTGACATCTAGCAATGTAAAAATACTATCGTCACAAAAAAGTCAGCTTGATTGGCCTTATAAACAGACAGAGGAGTTCAATCATAACATTCAAGTTATAGCGTTCAACAGTATATTGACTCTCTTTCAAAAAGCTTTTCACTTCAATCGTAGACATTCAAAGTTACAAAAAAATCACTCTGATAAAGCATTCACTTCAATCGTAGAAATTCAACGGTTTGTGTACACAGATATATTCACCATGCTTAAACTCATACAGGATTTGGTTTAAATGAACCGTTAACTTATATGAAGTAAAACATTTGTTTTTTGTAAGATAAGTGTGGAAATTTGAGAGGAAATAAATGAGGGATAAATAAAACAGAAGACATGCAAAAACAAGGCTACAGTTTTATCAGGCTATAATTCTTTGATATATCCTATAATTGTTTAACCATACCCAACAATATAGAGAATTTGATCACAATGCTAATAAAAGTATAACACGAAAATAGTACATTTAATTCTTAAACTTAAATTGCAAAGGAAAAGGGGAACAAATTTTGGTTTGCTAGAACAAATACCTTATACATTGCCAATATAGTGAAAGAAAATAAAACCAAATTCAGGGTTATAAAATCTATTTCAAAGCAACCAATGACAAACTTTACAATCATAATGTTTTCAAAGAAGATCCGTTTTTATGTAAAATAAAGGCTTTTACAACCGAAACAGTTCCCAGCCACTATAGCCTTGTTTTTTGTCACATGCAAAAATAAAAACTTAAACTTAATCATAAATACATACAAGGAGAACTCAACTTTTGAAATAAGGATTAACTAAGGAGAAATCCCTGAACTGAAGTTCGTCGATGTTCATTATAACCACACTGTCTGTTGGAGTATTTTTCACTTTTGTCTTGGTGAAGATCTGGTCAAAGTTTTCTGCACTTTTTGGATCTCGCTGTAACAGTAATAAACACTAAAAACAACATTGACAACAACAAACACATGGCAACTCATTTAAGTCACTTTATAAAAAGGACTTTTGGGGGAGATGTTTTTTGTTGGGATCTTTGTATTACTGTAAACCAACTAATTTTTGAGAGCTATTTATTCTGGTGACTTTATTGAGTATAAATAATTTCAAATATTAACTGTCGAAAATATGATAAATGAAAATATGAAAAAACTTTGAAACTCCCTTGTGTAAATATGTCAATGAAGGTAGGAAATAACAGAAAATAAATAGCCATAAAGTTAGCTAGAAGGGGCTAAATACGAAAAGAAGTATCTGCAAAGATTTGTTGGTTTACAGTATTGCATAAAATAAATTATTTATCTAAAGTATTAAACCAATTTAAATATATAAGTCTTCTCTGTCATATCTTTTTTTTAATGGCTGAGCATATAAGAAAATTTAGTGGGTTTTTATTACTGAACTTTAAGTGGAAAGGATTTTATGACTGTGTTAGGCGATGAATTGCCATGCTATTATATGGGAATATTAAAACAAATGACAACACGCAAGTCCATTGTGTTCAAATATTTTCTACAATGTTATTTTTCATCTGGATTTTAAGAAATAATAAAAATGAAATTTCAACTTGCATGAAAGGTCATGTTTTCAAATTATAAATCTTCTATTTTCCATAAAGTATAACCTTTAATTCAATATCATTTAAACAGAAGTTGAATCAAAAGAAATAAAAAAAATTTTTTGCAATAAACAAAATAAATGCATTTTGTTATGTTACACTTTCATGATTTGTATAAAATGCCATTTCAGCATAATATTTCATGTTTGTATTGCTATAGTAAAAGGCTTAATGAATCAGCAACTTTTAAACTAATTTTTTTTCATATTCAGTGTTGTCATCTTTAATGCAAGGAACCTTAAAAGTATCGAGGAACTATAAAACTTAACCATGCATGAGACACAGCAAAATTCAACTGAAAGGTTGTTTAATTTTTGTATAGTTATTATTTGTTATTTCTTTCATTTTATATTTTTTTTCATTAAAAATTCAAGTCACTATGGAGCTGCAGAAAAAAAAAATCCTAATTAAATAGTCCTGATTAATGAATGCAAGCCTTCTTCAAATTCCATGGGCTGTATTCCATGAAACATAGGTCGTCCAGAAAGAAACCTCAATTCAAGCTGTAACACCAGCACAGTGAGCATACCCTAATGCACTAAAATGAGCTCAATATCTATAAGCATAGCAAAAGATCAGACAACTATTGGATTTCTGAAGGGTGAAAGGAAGGAAAGAATGAATGGCAGACAATATACATCTGGGCTGAATAATCCCCTGTATGCATCCATAACTTTATTACCAAGATCTGATCTTCAACATGAGGCTTTATTCAAACAAATGTTTTAACAGAGAGCTAGAGGCATTCTAATATCAAGTAACATAACCTAAGGGTGACACTTTGTATTAAAAAAATAAAATGCAAATGTAAAACTCAAATAAATCTTCAAAGACTGAACAGCAAAGAGATTCAGGGAGGTACTTTTGTGATTGAATAAAAAATTGTGCTTTAATTTGGCTTCGGTTTATTGACACAAAAAGTGATTACAAGACAAACAAGAGTCTAAAAACACAACATAGAAAACAAAAGACTGAGCAACACAAACCCCAGCAAAAACTGTGGGTGATCTCATGTGCTCTGGAAGGGTATCACATCCTGCTCCACGTTTCACTCATCATCCTATATTGAGTCAATTTCAGTCCAACCATAATCAGATACTTAACAGATGATTGAGGTTTAGGGAGGAGGTGTAAGATTCTCTATCAAAGTATATAATTGTAATTGTAACTCTTAACATAAAATATAATTTCAACCTTGATGAAAAAATGTCTACTAAAGCTGTCAAACCTTGACTTATCTGTCATAAGATCTCGATTTTTTTGGCTTGGGGACCAAGATATACACAGAAGAACAGGCTACAAGGTTGTCTGTAAACTAATTTGTTAATTGCACAAAAAATCTTAACAAAAATTGTAATTGTTACTGAATTATCAATATTATTAATCTCATATTTGGGTAAGAATGGCTAAAGCAAATTGATGCAGAGTGTTTTCTGATAATTCTCCAGAACAACAGTCCTTTTATTTCTAATTTTCAACATAAAAATTCTTGTTAGACGTAGTGAAACAAAAACTGAAAATAAATGAATATTAAAAAAAAAATCTAGATTATGATAGAAAACAATGTTTATCAGTCAGGGCTTAAACAATCCAAAATAGCCATGCATAATAAGCAAACTAAACTTTTGCAATGCAATCTATGGCTAATATATATGCATTATGGGAAAAAAAACATGCAAATGCTACAAAACTAATATGAACTAATAAGGTAATCTGAAATATTGATAACTTGATGGTCAATTTCAAAACTTTAAACTCTTATAGAAGTTCTTTTATTTGATTTTTTGTGCTTCTCATGTTTCAAATGGCATATTAAGTTATTTAGTTATTAAGTTCAATTCAATTATTATCATGACTGACAGATTGTGCTAAATGAAGTAAAATGCAAATGCTTTCCTTTATAACATAAACAGCTTTAATTAGTTTTCGATTCCTTTCAACTTTTCTTACAATTAAACATGAAATTATAAAATAATTGCTATACAAGGCAGCAATGCAAAATGGCCAAATAGCAACTAAACATTAAATATAAACTTACACGTACTACAATAAAAATGTTAGTTACAAAATATACTATATTTACATCTATATTTAAGGAATTTGTAAGGAAAAATGAAATTCTTTTTTTTGCAACAACACAAAGTATCTATTTAAGATAGGGATAACAACATCAAATCTTACAATTTTTGGTTTGTATGGAGGCTGCACTTCTCTATTTTGAATTTTGTCCCACATAATTCTTGTAAAAAATCTGTGTTCTTTGATGTCTCTCTCACCTGTAGGACCACAGCCTAATCTTTTTGATGGATTCTTTGTTAACAACTACAATAAAATACAATAGTACACCTGACTTATAACAACTACAATAAAATACAATAGTACACACTGACTTATAAAATTGGTTGCATCACAAGATCATTATATTTTGTATCCTTTAAATACTTAAAAATTATCAAATATGATCAATCAACTGCAATAATTTTACTTCTTCCAGAAATTGTATCTTTTCATGTATTTAAATTTCAAGTAATGCTTCTAAACTCCTCTGTCATGTGACAAATTTAATATTATGGACAAGGAAATAGATGTAAAAAAATAACATAGAGCAACCAATTGTGAATTAGATTTTCTATGTTAGTTAATTAAATCAATAATTGTGACAATATAACTGATGACTTTCTATTTACCATAAATATTCAAACAAGGAAGTAAAAATATTATGTTTCTAACCAAATTGCCAGCCAGGTTTTTTATCAGTCCAGATTTATTGCAGCCATTTATGTCCAAATTTAAGTCACGACTGGAAAAATTTAATCTGTTTCCAGACCTTGGAGCATTGTAATATATTTTATGTGTTATCTCTCAGAAGGTTTTACCGAGAAAGTTTGTCAAATCTATGAGTAAACATTTCACAAGAATAAAATCTGTTTTATATAACCAGTAGAAAACAAATGCGACCAATATTCCCTCATCAAATAGATGGTAAAATTTAAGTTGATACTATAATGCTATAATCTGGTATAGTGTGTATCATTTTGTCATAAGCTTAATTTGTAATGGTTATAACAGGGAAAAGGAAAAATTACAATTCACACCTCGCCCCCTTTTCATCTGTGGGTTTTATTTACATGTATTCTTAATATTAAATAGTTGAACTAAGTAATTACTGTAAATCAAGAAATTATTGCAAGCATTTATTATTGTGATTTTTGAAAAATAAACAAAAATGAGAGTTTAATTATTGCGATTTTAGGAAAAGTTACTTACAGATATATGTATCAGATATCAGAATTAAGAGATCTTATTATTGCTATACTCAAGGAGTCGTGTTATTCCCATCAATAAAAAACCTTGCAATGATCTTTGAATTTACAGTATATTCTAACCCAGGCATAAAAAAATCAAAGATCAATTCTATTTGACACACTGTGGCCTGTTAAATCTAAATTACATAACCATCTTTGTGAAGGACCAAACTGATTCCCACAACAAATACATCGATGATTTTATCATATTTGAACAGCTTCTTTAGGCATAGATTTAGGATAAGACACTTTGTGGTCTGTTAAAGAAGTAAATACCTACACATCTACAAATTGAAACAGCTTCTTTAGACATAGATTTGGGATAAGACACATTGTGGCCTGTTATAGAAGTAAATACCTACACCTTTACAAATTGAAACAGCTTCTTTAGACATAGATTTGGGATAAGACACATTGTGGCCTGTTATAGAAGTAAATACCTACACCTTTACAAATTGAAACGGCTTCTTTAGACATAGATTTGGGATAAGACACATTGTGGCCTGTTATAGAAGTAAATACCTACACCTTTACAAATTGAAACGGCTTCTTTAGACATGGATTTGGGATAAGACACATTGTGGTCTGTTATAGAAGTAAAAAGTTCCTCTTCATCTTCACCATCAAATGGAGGCTGAAATACAAAATATCAAATTTTCATTATCATTTTTCAACATTCAGAGATGGATATGCTTGTTAATGTAATCATAGAAATTTTTTTCAATAACTTTCATTTGGCCTGAGAACACAGTTATTTTGTAGTGCATTTCTTAAGACTAAAATAAATCGCATCTGCAATATCTCAAAAAGATTTTTACAGTGTCACAATTGTACTACTTTTGGGAAAAATTATAGAAAGAAAAGTATAGCCTGATCCAACTCAAAATATGGACAATTCTGTGTTAAGGGGGTCAATAATTCAGTTTGACAGCTTCATACATACTAATTTTTTTACCTTTTTTAACTGGACCAAATCACTACTTTACCTAATCAAAGCCTTAAAGGCTGTTAAAGCAATTGCTGCCAAGTTAATGTTTTTGTGACTTTTATTTTTCATCCACATGTAAAAGAATTAAACCTGACATGAGTCTTGTCTAGTGAAAAGTAAGGATGTTTTAACTTTATATTAAACAAGAGGCTCTCAAGAGCCTGAATCGCTCACCTATAAATTTTTGCTTAAATCTTTCATCAATGATTATTTTTGCTTTTCAATATATATTAATAATGAGTGGCTTAAAAATGCCATTTAAATGTTCTTTGTATCTGTCATATTTTCTTCAAAAGCAAAAAAATGCATTTTACCCTTATGTTCCATTTTAGCCATAATGGCGTACAAGGAAATAAAATACAAAATTTATACTAGATACTCTGAAACTCATTCAGCCTAAATTTGGCTGAAATTGATTCAGCAGTTTCAAAGGAGAAGATTTTTAAAGTAAGCAAACTAAATGAACAAATTGTGAAAAGTTGTCTTTAAAGGACAATAACTCCTTAAGGGGTCAATTGACAATTTTGGTCATACATGTATAAACTTATTTGTAGATCTTACTTTCCTGAACATTTTTGCTGTTTACAGTTTATCTTTATCTACAATAATATTCAAGATAATAACCGAAAACTGCAAAATTTCCCTAAAATCATCAATTCAGGGGCAATAACCTAAAAATCAGACACCCTATTTGGCTGATAATTTCAAGGCAGGTAGACCTTGACCTAATGAATACTTTAGCTTCTTGTCTGATTTGCTCTAAATGCTATAGTTTTTGAGATATAAGTCAAAAACTGCATTTTACCCTATGTTCTATTTTTAGCCATGGCGGCCATGTTTTCTGAGGAAACAGAAAATAAAACACAAACTTTATTCTAGATACCCTAAGGATCATTCAGCTTAAGTTTGGTTGGAATTGGTTCAGTAGTTTCAGAGGAGAACTTGGCGTCTTTCACGTTTGGATGGGTCCATTTCATCTATAAGATGAAAGATTAATCTTATGGAATTATGACAAAAAAGGAAAACAGACTTATTGTTATGTGTTTTTAACACAGGCTTCGTTCCTCAAAATTATTTGCGCAAACAAAATAACAAGGTCAATTATGTTTGTCTATTTTTAGATATGTAAATAGAGAATTACAGGTAATCATTAGGGTTATTATGACATTTGACACTGTCATCGTATATATCATTTGTTTACAGAGTGGAGTCTATCAGTATCAGCAGCAATTAAGAAAACCCTTAATAAATAACTGGGCCCCTTATTTCATGGATGTATTAAAAACATGGTAAGAGTAATTACAGTTAATTAAAAACAAATAATGCGAGATAACATTACATTACTATAACGTGTGTAGTGATTTTACCATAATTTTATGAATGAACAAGAGCAAATTGACCTATTTCTAAAAGAAACACAATTCAAACAACATAAAACCGAAAATTAAAGAGATAATTCGGTCAAATTTTCAATATTAAATCAACAACTGACATGATTCAATATTTTGTTGAAACATCTCAAGAACGAAATCGCAGGTATAAAAATGCACTTTTTTTCACTCGGACTTTTATGTTCTTTGATAGTCAAATGTTTGTCCCCTTAAATACAAAAATACATCTACAAGAACATATGTTTAAACTTCTCAAACCCACTTATGTTTTTCAACCTTTCCAATTAATGTATTGCATTAGAAAACATACATAGTTTTAGAATGACAGACCAGTAATCTGCTAAAAAACTTTGGCTTAATTGATCTGGGCAGAGTCTCTGATCTGGGTCACAAAGATGGGTATATGCAATAGCATGAAAGCAATTGCTTTAAAAATTCATAACCCAAATTTTTGTATCATGAAATTTCATCTACCTACTTCATATTTTATGCATAAAATAAAAAGAAATAAATTTGGAAGGGGTATGAAAAATATTTGCAAGTTATACACTGTCCTTACTAGGGACTATATTAGTTGACAACTAAAATCAAAGGACAATAACTGGGTCCTCAGACAATTTCATTGTAATGGCAGCCATCTTGGTTGTTGAATGGTATTTACTATCATATTCTAGAATCTCTATGTTAAATCTTTTTTCATTACAAAAAATGACAGAAAACAATAAGATGTTATACCTATAGTTATAATTTCCTAGTTAGTGAATAGTGCCATTGAATTATAACTTTTAACCAAAATTATGATTAAGGAATCATTATTCTTTTATGGTTGTGGCCTGTTATATATTTCTTGCATGAAGAGATATATCTCAGATCACACTGCACAGAGTGTGATACGAAAAAGTGATACAAAAACTGTGTTAATTTGATTGGCTTATCCAGCATCATGAGACGATATTACAACATTTCCATTGGCTATTCATTAGGTCATTGATAACTTTCAAAGGTTAAGACGATGTAAATTTCGTCCATGGCAATGGACATATCTGATTTCTTCAATAATATACAAAACACTCACACTTTTCACCTGGAAATCTATTTGTAAAATTTTATTACATTCTGAAGCATACAAAAAGTTTTAAAATGTCTGATGTTAAAGTTTGATGCCGGAAATGGACATAATTATGACGTCATACTGGAATGTGCAAAAGACTAGATCAACGATTCGCGGGATTTTTAATTTAACAAACGATATCGAATTCTCACTCATTATGAAACCTATAAATATCATGTTTGGTTATATTTATTCCTAAATTTCAAAGCAGAAGATTTATTATGTTTAAGGCCAGCTAAAGGATATGAAAGTCAACTGAACAGAAATTTTCTTCAATGTTGTTATTCCACCTTATATCTTTTTTAATTTAACTTAGCATTAGAAATAGGACAAATACGCTACTTAAATTCTGCCATATGATTAACTCCCTTTCGATTGGATTTTAAAAATATCATATAATAAGACAGTGGTTTATTCTTTCAATGAGGTATTTTAACTTAGTCTTTTAGATTAAAATCCAAGCTTTTGATAAAGTAAGCTTACCTGACCTGCTAACATTTCATACAATAAGACACCATAAGCCCACCAATCTACTGATCTACCATAAGGCTGATACAGTACGATCTGTAAAAGATTGAATATTCATCATGCAAAATAAAATTTGAAAATATTCCCACTGAAGTATGGCATTAAATTTCTAATGCCTAATAAGATTTATATAAGTCAGCTTCTTCAATTTTATCAATTCTAAAGCACAGTTTTATATTCCATATATGATATAATACATAACTCTCTTTGTATTACAATAGTGTAAAAATAAATAATTAATAAAACAATTTTCCACTGATAAGAGCATCTGTCAAAAAAGATACAACTAATAGTCTTACAGTAAAATAATAGTTTTTCTTTCATTAATACTCATAAATAATTCTATATAAGATATGTCAATTTTTATTCCTCTAAAATCAATTAAATGCATATTTCTAATACCTTTCTCTGCAAAGTCAATCATACACTACAGGTTAAAAAGACCTTTATGCTTTTTGCTACAACTAACAACCAATATTAATCTGCAAGTAGCATATATTGATGTTTATCTTCAGGACACTTTGGCAAACTATAGTCATCCATGGCAACCATGGAAATCATGTAATCTTGTCATAATACCATAGATGCACAATACTGATAAAGTAACAGGCAAATAAATAGGTGCTCTAACAGATTTTTATGAAATTTTGCAAGCAACTAGAGCATTTGGAACCATATATGAATATCACAAGAGTGCACACGCTGAAATGTCTCGCCTTCTTTACTAACCATTGATTTTATGTTGATAGTCCTAAATATAAAGATTTACTAAAAGTAACACATAAACTTAACATGATCCAAGAAAATGAGGTCAAGGTCAGATAAACCAAACAAGAAATACATGTACACCTAACAATCATTCAAAAAACCAAACATAGTTGACCTATTGCTTATAGTTTCTAAGAAACAGTCTTAACCAAGAAAACTTAACATTGACCAATGAACCATGAAAATGAGGTCAAGGTCAGATGAACCATGCCAGACAGACATGTACACCTTAAAATCAATTTATGCATTAAATATAGTCAACCTATTGCTTATAGTATATAAGAAACAAACTTAACCATGAAAACTTAACATTGACCAATGAACCATGAAAATGAGGTCAAGGTCAGATGATACCTGTCAGACAGACATATACACCTTACAATCCTTCCATACAACAAATATAGTTGATCTATTGCTTATAGTTGAAGAAAAACAGACCAAAACACAAAAACTTAACACTGAGAAATGAATCGTGAAAATGAGGTCAAGGTCAAATAAAACCTGCGAGACTGACATGTACATCATAAAATATTTCTATACACCAAATATAGTTGACCTATTGCATATAGTATTAGAAAAAAAGACCAAAACTCAAAAACTAAACTTTGACCACTGAACCATGAAAATGAGGTCAAGGTCAGATGACACCTACCAGTTGGACATGTACACCTTACAATCATTCCATATACCAAATATAGTAGACCTACTGCTTATAGTATCTGATATATGGACTTGACCACGAAAACTTAACCTTGTTCACTGATCCATGAAATGAGGTCAAGGTCAAAGGAAAATTGTCTGACGGGCATGAGGACCTTGCAAGGTATGCACATACTAAATATACAACAACAAATGAGAGTTTTAAACGACCATACTAAATATAGTTATCCTATTACTCATAATAAGAAAGAAATTAACATTACAAAAAAATGTTGACTTTTTGTTTTTCAAGTAGTCACTGAACCATGAAAATGAGGTCAAGGACAATGGACATATGACAGACGGAAACTTCGTAACATAAGGCATCTATATACAAAGTATGAAGCATCCAGGCCTTCTAGCTTCTAAAATATAAAGCTTTCAAGAAGTTAGCTAACGCGCCGCCGCTGTAGCTGCCCCGGATCACTATCCCTATGTTGAGCTTTCTGCAACAAAAATCACAAGCCTCGACAAAAAAACAATATATACATAACTTTTATAATTTCTAAGATAAAGCAAACTAAATACTAGGTAAATACTAGGTAAATACAAGTAAAACAATTAAGAATGTATGTAAATATGGTTGCAATTGGACAAGAGGTTTTATATGGCCAAAAGGCTGAAGTATCCAATAGCCTGTAGGCACCCTTTTAACCAAGTTAACTAAAATAACAATAAACAAGAAAAGGAATCTAGAGTTTTTTTGACGGAGATTCATCTTTGGAACATATCAAAGTACTGTGGATTCTTTTGTTTTTGTTGGTACCAATTTTTTGTGGATTAAGAAAAAAATTGTATTTTCGTGGATATTTAATTTGTGGTTTGCTAAAGCCTATAGAATAAAATGCTCCGCTGGGGCGCAGCTTGATACGACCGCAGAGGTCGAACCCTGAATAGTTGGGGCAAGTATGGACACAACATTCAAGCTTGATACAGCACTGAATTTGGATTGTAATTAAATATTTGACACAACATAGGTTTCTGACACAGAATGAAAGTGGTCTAAGAACTTAAATTTTTTTAATTTACCTATTCAAACCATATCATTATTATTTGCTTTTATATATAAATCAGAAATAACCAATTTAAAATGGAAAATTTTAAAGAAAACCCCCCCCCCCCAAATTTTTTGAACCCCCTTATGATTTATCACCCCCAAACTCAATCCCAGCCTTCCCTTTGTGGTATGGTACCTTGCAGTACAATTTCAGAGAGATCCATACACTTGAACACAAGTTATTGTCTGGAAACTAGAAAAATGCTTGTTTTTTGGCCCCTTTTTGGCCCCAAATTCCTAAATGTTTAGGGCAATTACCCCCAAACTCAAACCCAGCTTTCCCTTTGTGATATGGAGCCTTGAAGTACAATTTCATAAAGATCCATACACTTACACACAAGTTATTGTCCTGAAACTAGAAAAATGCTTGTTTTTTTGCCTTTTAATGGCCCCTAATTCCTAAAATTTTGAGGGAATTACCCCCAAAATCAATCCCAGTCTTCCATTTGTGGTATGGTACCTTGAAGTACAATTTCAGAGAGATCCATACACTTGAACACAAGTTATTGTCTGGAAACTAGACAAATGCTTATTTTTGGCCCCTTATTCCTAAACTTTTTGGGCAATCACCCCCAAACTCAATTCCAGCTTTCCCTTTGTGATATGGAACCTTGTAGTACAATTTCATAAAGATCCATACACTTACAAGTTATTGTCATGAAACTAGAAAAATGTTTGTTTTTTGCCCCTTTTTGGCCCCTAATTCCTAAAATTTGGAGGCAATTACCCCCAAAATTAATCCCAGCATTCCCTTTGTGATATGGAACCTTGTGATACAATGTCAGAGAGATCCATACACTTACACACAAGTTATTGTCATGAAACTAGAAAAATGCTTGTTTTTGGCCCCTTTTTGGCCCCAATTCCTAAAATTTGGAGGCAATTACCCCCAAAATCAATCCCAGCATTCCCTTTGTGATATGGAACCTTGTGGTACAATGTCAGAGAGATCCATACACTTACACACAAGTTATATCTGGAAGTTACAAAAATGCTTATTTTTGGCCCCTTTTTGGCCCCTAATTCCTTAACTGTTGGTACCATAACCCCCAAAATCAATACCCACCTTCCTTTTGTGGTATTGAACCTTATGGTAAAATACAATAGAGATAGACGACGACGACGACGACGCCGCCAACGTCATACCAATATACGACCACAAAAATTTTTTTGCGGTCGTATAAAAATTGTGGTTCATGTTTACCCACATAATCCACAAACATTGGTATCCCACAAATAATAATGAATTCACAGCAATAATCAATAAAAGGAAGCAATGCCAGCCGTCTATTATTGTAGTATGCAATAAGTTGAGATGCCTACTTTATGACAAAAATGTAAACAGATTTACACTTTATATATCAAAATTTATAATATCCTATTTTAAAATATTACTGATGATAGTATTTTAATGATTTATATTTAAGACAAACCTCAGGTGCTATATAATCAGGTGTACCACAGAAAGTTCGTGTTGTTTTTTCTCCATGGATAATTCCTTCCTTGCACATTCCAAAATCTGCTATTTTTATATGACCCTCTGTATCTAACATTACATTATCTAACTTTAAATCTCTGTAATAAACAAAATTTCTAGCTTTTGATCCTTGAAATAATCAAAGGATGGCAATTTTGTTTTTTTTCGAAACCAGGTTTAGATCTGTTCACCACAACCAATGATGACTCAAGAACAGACTTGGTTAAAGTTGGTGTAGAAAAATCAGAAATAACCAGCTAAGCCATGATTGATTGATTGGTTGATTGATTAATTGATTTGTGAGTATAAAGCTTATCAAAACTATATAATGCCATCATTACTACTACCAATATCTATGTCAGTCTATAGTATTTTTAGTACTTTCCAATGCCTTCATTGCCACATGTGTGCATGTCAGAACCAAAGCCACCATTGCTACTTTCAAAGTCACAATTGCTACTACCAGTGTGTACCCAGTATGCCAGAACAAAGCAAACATTGCTACTGTCAATGTGTATGTAAGAACAAAGTCACCATTGCTACTGTCAATGTGTATGTAAGAACAAAGTCACCATTGCTACTGTCAATGTGTATGTTAGAACAAAGACACCATTGCTACTGCCAATGTGTATGTTGGAACAAAGACACCATTGCTACTGCCAATGTGTATGTTAGAACAAAGACACCATTGTAACTGCCAATGTGTATGTTAGAACAAAGCCTCCATTGCTACTGCCAATGTGTATGTTAGAACAAAGACACCATTGCTACTGCCAATGTGTATGTTAGAACAAAGCCTCCATTGCTACTGCCAATGTGTATGTTAGAACAAAGACACCATTGCTACTGCCAATGTGTATGTTAGAACAAAGTCACAATTGCTACTGCCAATGTGTATGTAAGAATAAAGACTCCATTGCTACTGCCAATGTGTATGTAAGAACAAAGCCACCATTGCTACTGCCAATGTGTATGTAAGAACAAAGTCACCATTGCTACTGCCAATGTGTATGTAAGAACAAAGTCACCAATACTACTGCCAATGTGTATGTAAGAACAAAGACTCCAAGCCTCCATTGCTACTGCCAATGTGTATGTCAGAACAAAGCCTCCATTGCTACTGCCAATGTGTATGTAAGAACAAAGCCACCATTGCTACTGCCAATGTGTATGTTAGAACAAAGCCACCATTGCTACTGCCAATGTGTATGTCAGAACAAAGACACCATTGCTACTGCCAATGTGTATGTTAGAACAAAGACACCATTGCTACTGTCAATGTGTATGTAAGAACAAAGCTTCCATTGCTACAGCCAATGTGTATGTTATAACAAAGCCTCCATTGCTACTGCCAATGTGTATGTAAGAACAAAGCCTCCATTGCTACTGCCAATGTGTATAAAAGAACAAAGCCTCCATTGCTACTGCCAATGTGTTTGTAAGAACAAAGCCTCCATTGCTACTGCCAATGTGTATGTTAGAACAAAGCCACCATTGCTACTGCCAATGTGTATGTCAGAACAAAGACACCATTGCTACTGTCAATGTGTATGTAAGAACAAAGCCTCCATTGCTACTGCCAATGTGTATGTTAGAACAAAGCCTCCATTGCTACTGCCAATGTGTATGTAAGAACAAAGCCTCCATTGCTACTGTCAATGTGTATGTCAGAACAAAGCCTCCATTGCTACTGCCAATGTGTATGTAAGAACAAAGCCTCCATTGCTACTGCCAATGTGTATGTAAGAACAAAGACACCATTGCTACTGCCAATGTGTATGTTAGAACAAAGCCACCATTGCTACTGTCAATGTGTATGTAAGAACAAAGTCAACATTGCTACTGTCAATGTGTATGTAAGAACAAAGTCACCATTGCTACTGCCAATGTGTATGTCAGAACAAAGCCTCCATTGCTACGGCCAATGTGTATGTCAGAACAAAGCCACCATTGCTACTGCCAATGTGTATGTAAGAACAAAGCCTCCATTGCTACTGCAAATGTGTATGTAAGAACAAAGCCACCATTGCTACTGCCAATGTGTATGTAAGAACAAAGCCACCATTGCTACTGCCAATGTGTATGTAAGAACAAAGCCTCCATTGCTACGGCCAATGTGTATGTCAGAACAAAGCCACCATTGCTACTGCCAATGTGTATGTAAGAACAAAGCCTCCATTGCTACTGCCAATGTGTATGTAAGAACAAAGCCACCATTGCTACTGCCAATGTGTATGTAAGAACAAAGCCACCATTGCTACTGCCAATGTGTATGTTAGAACAAAGCCACCATTGCTACTGCCAATGTGTATGTTATAACAGAGCCACCATTGCTACTGCCAATGTGTATGTAAGAACAAAGTCACGATTGCTACTGCCAATGTGAAGGTAAGAACAAAGACACTGTTGCTACTGTCAATGTGTATGTTAGAACAAAGCCTCCATTGCTACTGCCAATGTGTATGTAAGAACAAAGCAACCATTGCTACTGCCAATGTGTATGTTAGAACAAAGCCACCATTGCTACTGCCAATGTGTATGTAAGAACAAAGTCACCATTGCTACTGCCAATGTGTATGTAAGAACAAAGCCTCCATTGCTACTGCCAATGTGTATGTAAGAACAAAGCCACCATTGCTACTGCCAATGTGTATGTAAGAAAAAAACCCATTTCTACAGTCCATGTGTAAGTAAGAACAAAGACACTGTTGCTACTGTCAATGTATATGTAAGAACAAAGCCTCCATTGCAACTGCCAATGTGTATGTAAGAACAAAGCCACCATTGCTACTGTCAATGTGAATGTAAGAACAGAGCCCTCCATTGCTACTGTCCATGTGTATATAAGAACACAACCTCCATTGCTACTGTCAATGTGTATGTAAGAACAAAGTCACCATTGCTACTGTCAATGTGTATGTAAGAACAAAGTCACCATTGCTACTGTCAATGTGTATGTAAGAACAAAGTCACCATTGCTACTGTCAATCTGTATGTAAGAACAAAGCCACCATTGTTACTGTCAATGTGTATGTAAGAACAAAGCCTCCATTGCTACTGTCAATCTGTATGTAAGAACAAAGCCACCATTGTTAATGCCAATGTGTATGTAAGACCAAAGCCACCATTGCTACTGCCAATGTGTATGTAAGAACAAAGCCTCCATTGCTACAGTCCATGTGTATGTAAGAACAAAGACACCCTTGCTACTGTCAATGTGTATGTTAGAACAAAGACACCCTTGCTACTGTCAATGTGTATGTTATAACAAAGTCACCATTGCTCCTGTCAATGTGTATGTAAGAACAAAGACTCCATTGCTACTGCCAATGTGTATGTCAGAACAAAGCCTCCATTGCTACGGCCAATGTGTATGTAAGAACAAAGACTCATTGCTACTGTCAATGTGTATGTAAGAACAAAGCCTCCATTGCTACAGTCCATGCGTATGTAAGAACAAAGCCTCCATTGCTACAGTCCATGTGTATGTAAGAACACAGCCTCCATTGCTACTGCCAACATGTATGTCAGAACAAAAATATCATACCTCTGCACATGTGTATGTCAGAGCAAAGCCACCATTACATACCCATGCCATTATCAAATTACTGCTATTGTCAATACCTGTCAGTATTAAATAACAGATCTTTGAAATAATATCATTTCCAATACCTATATTAATGAAATTCTTTAAAGATGCTATAAACAGTTCTATTACTTTTGTATTTCTGCAGACAATTTATCGGATTTTATAATTCATAATTGTTCTAGGTACTAAACATCCTACAATTTTATATATTGATTTCCCAAGTAATGCAGCTTAAACCATTCCTATCAATTTGGTATACAGACAATTTATCCGGTTATATAACATCCAATAATTTCCAATATTCTTAGTCCTCATTTTGCCTCACATATCCCATACAACTGCGATCTAATACTGACAGAATTATTAACATGTACATTATTGTATTGCCAATGAAATAACAATCCATCAATGCTTAAAGACAATAAAGTGATCAGTTTTAGGCCATATAACAAGCAGAAACTCATAAGGTGAACTATAAAGCTCTATACATGTTAAGTGTGTCAAGAACTCCTATGGATTCACATTTTTTTTAAATTTCATATTATGTAATGTGCCAAGCAATCTATTAAATACTTTGTCAGATGCAAATAACACCAACATTGAAGAGCACAAAGATTCAATTCTATGAAAAAGTCATCAGATTATTGCTTAACAAGAATCCGAAACTAATGCATAAATCATTAAAACAAAACTTTGATTTTGCTGCATTATAATCAATTTGTTACTCCCTCAATTACAGATCATTTACCTATAAATAATTCCTTGTGCATGGAGGTAAAATAAACCTATGGCTATTTCTGCTGCATAAAACCTGAAAATAAAGAAAATCTACCATTAAACATGTTAAACCATTACAATGAAAGTGTTCGCTACAATCTGATTTTAGTGGTTTAAAAGAAAAATACCAAAAAAAAAGAGTTGTTGAAAATAGTGAGATGCAGTCCAGTATAATTTCATAACTTTTTCCAGACTGGTCATTGCTTTCAATCATTTTTCCTTTAAATCAGGATAATGCTCTCTTCATGGATCAATTAATTAATCCATACAACTTTGTATAAGGTTGCATTTTTATTTTTGTAAATAACTAAAACAAATCACACTGACCTACATTTCACATTTCATTGGTTTTAAACCTGCATTCATTTCTGAGATATTATGTGACCCATAATTATATTTTAAAATGACCAAAAGAAAAAAAAAAGTCTATAAAACATAACAAAGAAAACTAAAGACTGAGCAACACTAACTCCATCAAAAACTGTGGGCGATCTCAGGCGCTGCCAAAGGGAAAGATGTGGCACCTGTTGTGTTATTCATGTAAGTACAAATTTAGTGATAAGTCTAATTTGGTGATGTCACACTCGAGGAAAAGATGACAGGATAATAGTTAGGACAATTGGAACAGATCTATAATGGTCAACCAACTCGAAATGGCATCTGAAAAATTTTCATAGGGATGAAGAAGAAATAAACTTTTCAGTGAATGTATTTAAATATACTATCTGTTTTGGTCCTATTGCTTGTTCTTGTCAATATGTATAACACTCTCTTGAATTGTATCATTATTGCTATATCTTTCTGAATATAATAGACAAATTGCAATGTTTACTTCCACAGACCTAAAGATTTTACTTAAACTGGCTCAATGAAGTCTTTGGAAAATAATATTCAAATTGTAGCATTAAGTGTTTTTCAATGTGGCATTAAGAAATATTGGGACAACTTGTGATTTCTTGTCATTGGTGCAATAGGTCTATACCATGTACATATATTTTTTTTAGCACTGTTAAAATTTTATATAATCTATCCAAAGAAATTGATATCATAAGTGATTAAAATTAAACTTAGTATTTAAGTTTGTTTGACACTTACACAGCTACAGGCTCCTTGAATTTTCCCTCTTGTTGAATTCTATACATTAAATCTCCTCCGTTTACATACTCCATAACAAAATACAACCGGTCCTGGAATAAAAATGTCTACAGTTATAACTCATAACAAAATACAACCGGTCCTGGAATAAAAATGTCTACAGTTATAACTCATAACAAAATACAACCGGTCCTGGAATAAAAATGTCTACAGTTATAACTCATAACAAAATACAACAGGTCCTGGAATAAAAATGTCTACAGTTATAACTCATAACAAAATACAACCGGTCCTGGAATAAAAATGTCTACAGTTATAACTCATAACAAAATACAACCGGTCCTGTAATAAAAATGTCTACAGTTATAACTCATACCAAAATACAACCGGTCCTGTAATAAAAATGTCTACAGTTATAACTCATAACAAAATACAACCAGTCCTGTAATAAAAATGGTCCTGGAATAAAAATGTCTACAGTTATAACTCATAACAAAATACAACCGGTCCTGGAATAAAAATGTCTACAGTTATAACTCATAACAAAATACAACCTTGCCTGTAATAAAAATGTCTACAGTTATAACTCATAACAAAATACAACCGGTCCTGTAATAAAAATGTCTACAGTTATAACTCATAACAAAAAACAACCGGTCCTGTAATAAAAATGTCTACAGTTATAACTCATAACAAAATACAACCGGTCCTGTAATAAAAATGTCTACAGTTATAACTCATACCAAAATACAACCGGTCCTGTAATAAAAATGTCTACAGTTATAACTCATAACAAAATACAACCTTGCCTGTAATAAAAATGTCTACAGTTATAACTCATAACAAAATACAACCGGTCCTGGAATAAAAATGTCTACAGTTATAACTCATAACAAAATACAACCGGTCCTGTAATAAAAATGTCTACAGTTATAACTCATAACAAAATACAACCAGTCCTGGAATAAAAATGTCTACAGTTATAACTCATAACAAAATACAACCGGTCCTGGAATAAAAATGTCTACAGTTATAACTCATAACAAAATACAACCGGTCCTGTAATAAAATTGTCTACAGTTATAACTCATAACAAAATACAACCGGTCCTGTAATAAAAATGTCTACAGTTATAACTCATAACAAAATACAACCAGTCCTGGAATAAAAATGTCTACAGTTATAACTCATAACAAAATACAACCGGTCCTGTAATAAAAATGTCTACAGTTATAACTCATAACAAAATACAACCGGTCCTAGAATAAAAATGTCTACAGTTATAACTCATAACAAAATACAACCAGTCCTGGAATAAAAATGTCTACAGTTATAACTCATAACAAAATACAACCGGTCCTGTAATAAAAATGTCTACAGTTATAACTCATAACAAAATACAACCGGTCCTAGAATAAAAATGTCTACAGTTATAACTCATAACAAAATACAACCTGTCCTGGAATAAAAATGTCTACAGTTATAACTCATAACAAAATACAACCAGTCCTGGAATAAAAATGTCTACAGTTATAACTCATAACAAAATACAACCGGTCCTGGAACAAAAAGGAATAAAAATGTCTACAGTTATAACCCATAACAAAATACAACCAGTCCTGTAATAAAAATGTCTACAGTTATAACTCATAACAAAATACAACCGGTCCTGGAATAACAAGAGTGCACACGCTGAAATGTCTCGCCTTCTTTACTAATCATTGATATTATGTTGATGGTCCTAAATATAAAGCTTTACTACAACTATCACATACACTTAACATGATCCAAGAAAATGAGGTCAAGGTCATATAAACCAAACAAGAAATACATGTACACCTTACAATCATTCAATACACTAAATATAGTTGACCTATTGTTTATAGTTTCTAAGATACAGACTTAACCAAGAAAACTAAACATTGACCAATGAACCAAGAAAATGAGGTCAAGGTCAGATGAACAATGCCAGGCAGACATGTACTACAGCTTGCAATCCTTCCATACACCAAATATAGTTGACCTATTGCTTATAGTATTAGAAAAAACAGACCAAAACACAAAAACTTAACACTGAGCAATGAACCGTGAAAATGAGGTCAAGGTCAAATAAAACCTGCAAGACTGACAGGTACATCATAAAATATTTCCATACACCAAATATAGATGACCTTTTGCATAAAGTATTAGAAAAAAAGACCAAAACTCAAAAACTGAACTTTGACCACTGAACCATGAAAATAAGGTCAAGGTCAGATGACACCTGCCCGCTAGACATGTACACCTTACAATCATTCCATACACCAAATATAGTAGACCTATGGCATACAGTATAAGAAAAACAGACCAAAACACAAAAACTTAACTATAACCACTGAACCATGAAAATGAGGTCAAGGTCAGATGACACCTGCCAGTTGGACATGTACACCTTCGTCCTTCCATACACCGAATATACTAGACCTATTGCTTATAGTATCTGAGATATGGACTTGACCACCAAAACTTAACCTTGTTCACTGATCCATGAAATGAGGTCGAGGTCAAGTGAAAACTGTGTGACGGGCATGAGGACCTTGCAAGGTACGCACATACCAAATATAGTTGAACTATTGCATATAGTATTAGAAAAAAAGACCAAAACTCAAAAACTTAACTTTGACCACTGAACCATGAAAATGAGGTCAAAGTCAGATGACACCTGCCCGCTAGACATGTACACCTTACAATCATTCCATACACCAAATATAGTAGACCTATGGCATACAGTATAAGAAAAACAGACCAAAACACAAAAACTTAACTATAACCACTGAACCATGAAAATGAGGTCAAGGTCAGATGACACCTGCCAGTTGGACATGTACACCTTACAGTCCTTCCATACACCGAATATACTAGACCTATTGCTTATAGTATCTGAGATATGGACTTGACCACCAAAACTTAACCTTGTTCACTGATCCATGAAATGAGGTCGAGGTCAAGTGAAAACTGTCTGACGGGCATGAGGACCTTGCAAGGTACGCACATACCAAATATAGTTATCCTATTACTTATAATAAGAGAGAATCTAACATTACAAAAAATCTGAACTTTTTTTTCAAGTAGTCACTGAACCATGAAAATGAGGTCAAGGACATTGGACATGTGACTGACGGAAACTTCGTAACATGAGGCATCCATATACAAAGTATGAAGCATCCAGACCTTCCACCTTCTAAAATATAAAGCTTTTAAGAAGTTAGCTAACGCCGCCGCCGCCGTAGCCGCCGCCGCCGGATCACTATCCCTATGTTGAGCTTTCTGCGACAAAAGTCGCAGGCTCGACAAAAATGTCTACAGTTATAACTCATAACATAATACAACCGGTCCTGGAATAAAAATGTCTACAGTTATAACTCATAACAAAATACAACCAGTCTTGTAATAAAAATGTCTACAGTTATAACTCATAACAAAATACAACCGGTCCTGGAACAAAAAGGAATAAAAATGTCTACAGTTATAACTCATAACAAAATACAACCAGTCCTGTAATAAAAATGTCTACAGTTATAACTCATAACAAAATACAACCGGTCCTAGAATAAAAATGTCTACAGTTATAACTCATAACAAAATACAACCTTGCCTGAAATAAAAATGTCTACAGTTATAACTCATAACAAAATACAACCGGTCCTGGAATAAAAATGTCTACAGTTATAACTCATAACAAAATACAACCGGTCCTGGAATAAAGATGTCTACAGTTATAACTCATAACAAAATACAACCGGTCTTGTAATAAAAATGTCTACAGTTATAACTCATAACAAAATACAACCGGTCCTGTAATAACAAGAGTGCACACGCTGAAATGTCTCGCCTTCTTTACTAATCATTGATATTATGTTGATAGTCCTAAATATAAAGCTTTATTACAACTGTCACATAAACTTAACATTAACCAAGTAAACTAAACATTGACCAATGAACCATGAAAATGAGGTCAAGGTCAGATGAACCATGCTAGGCAGGCATGTACAGCTAACAATTCTTCCATACAACAAATATAGTTGACCTATTGCTTATAGTTTAAGAAAAAACAGACGAAAACACAAAAACTTAACACTGAGCAATGAACCTTGAAAATGAGGTCAAGGTCAAAAAAAACCTGCGTAACTGACATATAGATCATAAAATATTTCCATACACCAAATATAGTTGAACTATTGCATATAGTATTAGAAAAAAAGACCAAAACTCAAAAACTTAACTTTGACCACTGAACCATGAAAATGAGGTCAAGGTAAGATGACACCTGCCAGCTAGACATGTACACCTTACAATCATTCCATACACCAAATATAGCTGACCTATTGCATGCAGTATTAGAAAGAAAGACCAAAACTCAAAAACTTAACTTTGACCACTGAACCATGAAAATGAGGTCAAGGTCAGATGACACCTGCCAGCTAGACATGTACACCTTACAATCATTCCATACACCAAATATAGTAGACCTATTGCATACAGTATAAGAAAAACAGACCAAAACACAAAAACTTAACTATAACCACTGAACCATGAAAATGAGGTCAAGGTCAGATGACACCTGCCAGTTGGACATGTACACCTTACAGTCCTTCCATACACCGAATATACTAGACCTATTGCTTATAGTATCTGAGATATGGACTTGACCACGAAAACTTAACCTTGTTCACTGATCCATGAAATGAGGTCGAGGTCAAGTGAAAACTGTCTGACGGGCATGAGGACCTTGCAAGGTACGCACATACCAAATATAGTTATCCTATTACTTATAATAAGAGAGAATTTAACATTACAAAAAATCTGAACTTTTTTTTCAAGTAGTCACTGAACCATGAAAATGAGGTCAAGGACATTGGACATGTGACTGACGGAAACTTCGTAACATGAGGCATCCATATACAAAGTATGAAGCATCCAGGTCTTCCATCTTCTAAAATATAAAGCTTTTAAGAAGTTAGCTAACGACGCCGCTGCCGCTGCCGCCGCCACCGGATCGCTATCCCTATGTCGAGTTTTCTGCGACAAAAGTCGCAGGCTCGACAAAAATGTCTACAGTTATAACTCATAACAAAATACAACCAGTCCTGTAATAAAAATGTCTACAGTTATAACTCATAACAAAATACAACCGGTCCTGTAATAAAAATGTCTACAGTTATAACTCATAACAAAATACAACCAGTCCTGTAATAAAAATGGTCCTGGAATAAAAATGTCTACAGTTATAACTCATAACAAAATACAACCAGTCCTGTAATAAAAATGTCTACAGTTATAACTCATAACAAAATACAACCGGTCCTGTAATAAAAATGTCTACAGTTATAACTCATAACAAAATACAACCAGTCCTGTAATAAAAATGGTCCTGGAATAAAAATGTCTACAATTATAACTCATAACAAAATACAACCGGTCCTGGAATAAAAATGTCTACAGTTATAACTCATAACAAAATACAACCGGTCCTGGAATAAAAATGTCTACAGTTATAACTCATAACAAAATACAACCGGTCCTGTAATAAAAATGTCTACAGTTATAACTCATAACAAAATACAACCGGTCCTGTAATAAAAATGTCTACAGTTATAACTCATAACAAAATACAACCGGTCCTGTAATAAAAATGTCTACAGTTATAACTCATAACAAAATACAACCGGTCCTGGAATAAAAATGTCTACAGTTATAACTCATAACAAAATACAACCGGTCCTGGAATAAAAATGTCTACAGTTATAACTCATAACAAAATACAACCGGTCCTGGAATAAAAATGTCTACAGTTATAACTCATAACAAAATACAACCGGTCCTGTAATAAAAATGTCTACAGTTATAACTCATAACAAAATACAACCGGTCCTGGAATAAAAATGTCTACAGTTATAACTCATAACAAAATACAACCGGTCCTGTAATAAAAATGTCTACAGTTATAACTCATAACAAAATACAACCGGTCCTGTAATAAAAATGTCTACAGTTATAGTTAAAAGTAGCAAAATATAACAAAACACAAAAGTACATTACTGTTTTATGTTTACATCCAATAGAATCTTATTTTTTTAACTCATAAATCATGAATTAAATCAGATTAAATCAAGAGAAAGCAAAAACATCTGAAGACAAAAACATCATCACATAAATACCGTAGAATTCAGACAATTCTGCATCATCAACAGCTGGTTTGTAAACACGAAAGCCTTCAAATTATTTTTTTTTAAATGTGTTTTTATATGAAATTTATATTTTAGGAAAAAATTGTAGGTGATGAGTACTTATGCTCATGCATTGTATCTTAAAACATGTTTATTATATGCAAAGTAATAAATACAAGTAAATTGTATGTGTTATACCATCAATGGCATTGCACTGTATCGTAAAACATGTTTATTATATATTTAGTAATAAATACAAGTAAATTGTATGTGTTATACCATCAATGGCATTGCACTGTATCGTAAAACATGTTTATTATATATTTAGTAATAAATACAAGTAAATTGTATGTGTTATACCATCAATGGCATTGTACTGTATCTTCAAACATGTCTATTATATACTTAGTAATAAATACGAGTAAATTGTATGTGTTATACCGCCAATGGCATGGTACTGTATCAACCATCCATGATGATATCCATATCCGAAGCTTTATCAAACACCTAAACTCTATAACTTCACGTCATTGATATCACTCACGGTTATAAAGGCTTTATCAAACCCCTAATCTGTATGACGTCACGTCATCGATATCAGTCACAGTTACAAAAGCTTTATCAAACCCCTAATCTGTATTACATCATCTCACGTGAAAAAACATCTACTTGAAGTATGTAATAAAGTGCATTTGATATGGCTTTTTCATTATCACACCCCGTATCAACCCTAAACCAATATAATCCCTCGAGCAGAGATCTTGGGATTATATTGGTGTCTTGGATTGATACAGGTGGGATATTGAAAAAGCCATATGATATTCTGTATTTATGAATACATTATTGTTATTACAAATTTATAATAATTCAGCTTTAATGATACCATCTTAATACAAACATTTTATGAGACCAGTTTATTGCAAACTATAATTTGGTACCATGAGGAAATTACCCACTATTGTTAATTTAATAGTATAAATCTATAATCATTGCATGCTTCTTCATAATAATAAGTACTTGCTAGACTAATATCCTGACAAGTTAATATATATAAGAGTTTAATATTCATGTGATTTTAAACATGAATGAATGTTATATGGGAAAAATGAATTGATCTCTGAAAAGGAAAACTGTTTACAGCCACTTCTTTATACCACTGTCATTATTATTGTCAATAATTAGAGAATTATATTAACTAATAAAAAATGAGAGTAAAAATTCATTTATGCAAAGTAAAATTTGTCCAATTTAAACATGTTTGACTTCAGTTATGTATGTGTGTTTGTTTTAGTGAAGCAGAAAGGGGTGTAAACGGGTGGATGAATGGAATATTCCCGATATTTGTTACGAGTGGACCCACATAAAGACAGAAGGAGGAACAGTATACCAGTGTTTCCCGTTCCTTTGGAAAAGGGATATAAAAATAATAATTAATGAATGCAATACATCCTAATACTTATTAAGACCACAAGAACTAGATATCATTCAGATGGGAGCCATCTCTGTGGGCCCTGCTGTGAATAATGTGTGGTAAAACATTTGTATCTTTATCATTGGACACGGGGTTGTCAACTGAAACCGAAGTTTATGACCTTGACCTTTGACCTAGGAAGTGGTACATAAATTATGACACACCCTCTGGTGTTGGTTTATATACATGTCATGTATAAACTTTGAAATCATAACGGTTCTCAAGATATAGAGCGGACACGATCTTTACCATAGGACATGGGGTTGTCAACTAAAACCAAAGTTTTTGACCTTGACCTTTGACCTAGGAAGTTGTACATACATTATGACACACCCTCTGGTGTTGGTTTATATACATGTCAAGTATAAACTTTGAAATCATAAGGGTTCTCAAGATATAGAGCGGACACGATCTTTACCATAGGACATGGGGTTGTCAACTAAAACCAAAGTTTTTGACCTTGACCTTTGACCTAGGAAGTTGTACATACATTATGACACACCCTCTGGTGTTGGTTAATATACATGTCAAGTATAAACTTTGAAATCATAACGGTTCTCTTGATATAGAGCTGACAAAATTTGTTATGGACGGATGGACGGTCTGACGGACTGATCACTATAGGGCGTCCGCCATTCGGCGGGGCCCTAATTAATGATATAAGTGTAAAAGAAATCTCTTAAGAGCAGCTGGTTCACAGTATACAGGGAATGTTTTAAACAAGAATGCAGAAGGAATTCTGGTTTGATCAGAGCTAGAATACCTGGTCCAGAGTAATCAGAGAATGTTGTGAACAAAAAGGTACATTAGAACCCAGTCTCTATAGTATATCTGGATTAATACATACCATAGTTTGGAAACAAGAATGTAACTGTACAAGGAATGGTGGTTTTGTGGGAAGGGCTAGAACACGTTTTTCTATCATTGTACATTCGACATCATCATCTTGAATTATCACATCTTTTTTCAATATTTTTATCGCATATAATTCAACTGTGCCTTTTCTTTCTGCTAAAACAACCTGGAAATAAAAACATGTAAAAATCAAAATTGCTTATCTGAGTAAAATGAAAATGACTTTCATATGCTTACAGCATCACCATTTTTCAATAACTGACAAATTTACATTTCAACCATAACTAATAAACTAATAAAATTGCATGTGCATCTGTGTAGCAATAAGCAATCTTTGACCAAAGCTAATGTTATCTTATTGACAGAAATAATGGATTATAAACTGTTAACACAGAGATATGTCTCGCCTATTTGTTATTTTGATAATGCAAATGTTGAAATTAAAATAGCAATACATAACATGTAAGTTATGCAAATATTCAAAGTCAATGAACCATGACTGAAGGTACAGGGCTAAACAATCTCCATGGAAATGAGATGTGCCAATGCTAATACAACTGCAAACCAAATACCATTGACTTTTCATAAGTCGTTCCCTTTAAATAAACCTAAACACAAACATTAACTTGTAAACTCTGTAAAAGTTTCAAAGTCAATGAACCATAATTAGGGGGTGGGGTTATATAATCTCCATGGAAATGAAACTTGCAAATGCCAATACATTTGCATACCGAATATCATTGACTTAACATTAGTGGTTCATCTTGAACTGACCTAATCACAAACCAATACATGTAAACTAAGCAAAAGTTTCAAAGTCAATAGACCATGATTGAGGGGTAAGGACCAAATATTCTCCATGGAAATGAGATGTGCTAATGCTTATACAACTGCATACCAATTATCATTGACCTACCACTAACAGTTACCCTTAAACTGACCTAATCACAAACTAATACATGAAAACTAAGCAAAAGTTTCAAAGTCAAAAGACCATGAATGAGGGGGCTGGGCGAAATAATCTCCATGGAAATGAGATATGCCAATGCTTATACAACTGCATACCAAATATCATTGACCTACCACTAGTGGTTCCCTATAAACTGACCTAATCACAAACTAATACATGTAAACTAAGCAAAGTTTCAAAGTCAATAGACCTTGACAGAGGGGGCGGGCCAAATAATCTCCATGATAATGAGATGTGTCAATGCTAATACAACTGCATACCAAATATCATTGACCTACCACTAGTGGTTCACCATGAACTAGACCTAATCACAAACTAATACATTGCCGACGCCGGAATCAGCATACCTATGTCTCGCTTTTTGACTCCGTCAAGGCAAGACAAAAATCATATGGAACTTTCAATAATGCATTTTCTAGGATTTGTTTAAAACCAAACTGAAAATTGACCTCTTGATTGTTTTTCCTTGTTTTATTGTGTAGATTGCTGTCTCACTGACTAATTAAAGGAACATGATCTTTTATTTATGTATATAAAGGTTAATTCACCATAGCATCATGCTTATGCTCATATTCATCATATTAGGGCTTACACTACAAGAATACCAAAAATCAGAAGTACTGACTTTGAAATGGAAAAACTAATAAAACATAAAATGCTGATGAATATAAAAGAGAAAGCAAATGTCATTCAAAACATTGGCAGCTATCAAAACCTTAAGTAAATAATTTCCTCTGTGAGAGAAAGTATCAAACCATTACAAGTATAAATGTGTGGTCAGTGCAATTAGTAGTTAAGATAAATGTATAAGTTTGGTTGACAGTCAAATCAGGAGAATACAGATTTTTACAAGTGATTAAATTATTTGCTGGGAAATCCAAGATATCATTTTGGTCACAATATAAAATATGAGATGCACAACTTCATAAATTACTGTCAAATCTGTGTAAACTATATTTAAATCAATTCCATTTCTACTGAAGAAACTCAAGCAAGCAGATGAATTAAACAAACACTCCAACTACTCTTGCTGTCTGCTCCACGAAGAAATGAAGGAGAATAACTAGATAAATTAAGGCATTGACACTCTTGTTCAATGCTCTTCACTTCAGATCAAATATTTCACTACCATCCTATAGGTGACTTAATAACTTGCTGTACAATGCAGAACAAAGTCATATAGAACAATTATCCTAATCTTTATTTCTATATTGGTCTTTATTATCAATGGAATACCAGAATAAAATACAATTCATTCTCAACAGCAATTATCAAAATACATTATTTGATGACAATATGGTGGTTACCATATCAACTGTTGACATAGTAATGATGAAGTGTTTGAATTGATGGTAACTGTCAAGTATGATCTCAATAGACATTTAAATTCAGATTCTGTCTAATTGTCTAGTGTTTTTACATTCATGGACAACAGTCATGAGATAGATAATTCATTTTTAATCTATGCGTAATAAATTAGTATGGAAATGTATTTTATCCACTATATCTAATGTTTTATCTCTTCAAATCATGAATACCTGATTTCAGTTTCTAAAATCATACAACATTATAATCATTGATTACTGGTATTTTTTTCATTTGGGATTAAGGGATTTTTTGGGGGAAAACCCATTTAACCATACAAAAAATATTGACTTGCCATTAAAATCTCAGGAAATACACGTTCAAAATCGCTGTGAAAAGTCAAGTACCAGTACTCATATTGAGGAAAAAAAACATATGTAAAAGTTTTTCCTGTTGGAGCTTTATTTAAATCCAATAATATCATAGTAGTTTATGTGATATCTTGTATGAGAAAGGTATTCTCCAAACAGGAAGGTCTATTTTACTTACTTTACCAAAACTGCCTTTCCCAAGAACTGTAAGGAAGTTGAAATCTGTAGCTCGTATTGTGTCCTGTTTACTGGTATTTTTGGAAAGATCAACTCTTGGAGGTCTTCCATCATCTATTGCTGCTTTCTATAAATTTTGAAAAAAAATAGAACTTCAAAAATTTGTCAAATAAAACAGGTGTAGCCAGAAATATTTATTAGTAAAAAAGTATGAACAAACGATGTGGGATCCATGCAAATCAATAAAGACAATGGAAGTCAACATACAAATCTTCAACATTAGCAAAGTGTCTTTACAATATGTCAAGCTCTGCTATGTCATTAGTCTAGAAAAAGAAGTGAATAATCTTAATAGACCATTTGTTTCTGAGAATTGGCTGTTAATGCCCTTATATACACATACACAGATGTGAACACAAAAAGTATTCCAATAGGACCCCTCAATGTTGTAGATGGGAACTAAAATGACGCCACAACAGTAAATTATTGGTTAAAAAAATTAAAAGAAGGAAACAATTGACTTATTGTTAATATATTAATATATTACTTAAGTATATATATACTGTCAAGTAGTTGCACTTTTAAATAAAATTTCCTATATGATTAGTACTTAAATTGTACCACTTCTAAATTGCATGGATATAAGTACTTGTCACTTGTGATATTTAGCTATATATTTCATATTAAACCACATTTTTCAAAAAAATATTATTGGGGTATTTCTGGTTGATTTCAACCAACATGGTACATCTTAAAGCAGAATTATCAACAGCCTTATATGTTTTCTTTGTAAAAAAATGTTCAGGTGTTTTAATTTTCTGATGGTTTTTACATGCATATTATTTTTTGTCCAAAAGTTTGATATATACTCCTGCATAAAATTGTAAACAGTTATCATGTGTGTCTACTCTGGGAGAAAACAAACAAGAAATGAGCTGTCAAATTGAAACACGGTTAACTATATTTAGAAGACACTTTCAGGCTTGTTTGATCTACCATGTTCTGTGCCTATTTTACAATCTATCAAGGACCATAACTCCTGAACGGCAAAAGAGAAAATCATCAATATTAAACTTGACCTCAATTTTGAGATCAGTAACAAAATAATCGTTTCAAAAGCATTGGTTGAATTGTTTATAAGTTATTGTACGGAAACAACATAAAATGACATTTTCATTATCTATCAAGGACCACAACTAAGGAACGGCAAAAGTGAAAATTGTCAATTTCAAACTTGACCTCGATTTTTGTCATCAGTAATAACATATTAGAATTTGAATAGCATTGGTTGAATAGTTAATAAGCTATTGCCTGGAAACTGTTGGCAGCTGCCCCTCTCAATGCTCAGCAGCTTATGAATATCAATAAAATGCTCCGCTGGGCGCAGCTTGATACGACCGCAGAGGTCGAACCCTGAACAGTTGGGGCAAGTATGGACACAACATTCAAGCTTGATACAGCACTGAATTTGGATTGTGATTAAATATTTGACACAGCATAGGTTTCTGACACAGAATGAATGTGGTCGCTATGAACTTAAAAAATTTTAATTTACCTATTCAAACCATATCATTATTATTTGCTTTTATATATAAATCAGAAATAACCAATTTAAAATGGAAAATTTTAAAGAAAAAAAAAGGAAAAAAAGGGAAAAAAATCCCACCCCCAAATTTTTTGAACCCCCTTATGATTCATCACCCCCAAACTCAATCCCAGCCTTCCCTTTGTGGTATGGTACCTTGCAGTACAATTTCAGAGAGATCCATACACTAGAACACAAGTTATTGTCTGGAAACTAGAAAAATTCTTGTTTTTAGGCCCCTTTTTGGCCCCAAATTCCTAAACGTTAAGAGCAATTACCCCCAAACTCAAAACCAGCTTTCCCTTTGTGATATGGAACCTTGTAGTACAATTTCATAAAGATCCATACACTTACACACAAGTTATTGTCCTGAAACTAGAAAAATGCTTGTTTTTTGCCCCTTTTTGGCCCCTAATTCCTAAAATTTTGAGGCAATTACCCCCAAAATCAATCCCAGCCTTCCCTTTGTGGTATGATACCTTGCAGTACAATTTCAGAGAGATCCATACACTTGAACACAAGTTATTGTCTGGAAACTAAAAAAATGCTTATTTTTGGCCCCTTTTTGGCCTCTTATTCCTAAACGTTTTGGGCAATTACCCCAAACTCAATTCCAGCTTTCCCTTAGTGATATGGAACCTTGTAGTACAATTTCAGAAAGATCCATACACTTACACACAAGTTATTGTCATGAAACTAGAAAAATGCTTGTTTTTTGCCCCTTTTTTTGCCCCTAATTCCTAAAATTTTGAGCCAATTACCCCCAAAATCAATCCCAGCCTTCCCTTTGTGGTATGATACCTTGCAGTACAATTTCAGAGAGATCCATACACTTGAACACAAGTTATTGTCTGGAAACTAGAAAAATGCTTATTTTTGGCCCCTTTTTGGCCTCTTATTCCTAAACGTTTTGGGCAATTACCCCAAACTCAATTCCAGCTTTCCCTTTGTGATATGGAACCTTGTAGTACAATTTCAGAAAGATCCATACACTTACACACAAGTTATTGTCATGAAACTAGAAAAATGCTTGTTTTTTGCCCCTTTTTGGCCCCTAATTCCTAAAATTTTGAGGCAATTACCCAGGGCTTCCAAAATTTCCTGACGACAGCCGGACATTTTTCAAAGAAATATTTTTGACGGTCAATGATCAGCTGTATACTTAAATGTAACTGAGAGGATGCATAAATTGATATATGTGTCTAAATAATTAGTAGTGTTATATGCAATAAAATTATTTATAACTGTTTTGTTTTCTTCATTCTAAAAATAAATAAAATATTATCCTCGGTATTGTGTCATTTTTCTGTGTATCGTAATACAGTAACCATCATTGCATCAATCAGCTTCAGTACCTGACTGTTCTCATGTTTTTGTTTCTGTTTATATAATCTATCTTCTCTCTGTGAGTACTTAACACTTTGTAAATTAAGGCCATTTTATTTAAAACTGTTGATGTTGGCTTAATTGCAGTACAACTTGATCATCAATACACGTGATACTTTTCTTTTTGTGTATTGATTACCTGACCACGTGACTTTTACAACTGATGCGGTATTTATAGATAACATTGAGGAGGCCCGATGAAGGATATTGTTTTAAACCGTGTAAAATCTACTGAACAGTGATAACATTTTTCTTTGTACAATTTCCCAACCTGATTTAGAAAATAAGGAATAAATAAAAACATACTCAGTTGATAAATAATTTAATGAATAACAACATGATATTTTATGTAAGCATATAACAACAATAAAATGTCAGAAGAGCACAATGCTGACAAACACACGCAATAAATATTACAATGAGCACATTGAAAAGAAGCAGAGATCACAGCACAAGATTAGAGTTCATTTAGTCTAATTAAAGATTTTACATTCATGAGCTTGCTAAATGCATTGTTCTGATAAACATGGCGGTTACGAACGGATTGCCATTTGCGGATAGCAGGAACAGGGTCAAAGTCTTTAACATCTACACCTACTAAGCTTATCCTCATAAGTTGATCTAAAGCGTCAATACCTAGACTACACCTTAGTCGATCATAATTCCCACGGCGGGACTTAACTTTACGTCGGACATCACCTCTTTCTCTATAACATCGGAAATTGTCTGAATAAATTCGGAGCAGGCATTGTTCTCTTGATATAATTTAGAAGTGATCACGGCACCATTTAACTTAGTTAAATCATTTATTGACTGAAATTTGTCCATTGGTTTTTCCTATATATTTTAGTAAATTTTCCCCTTGAGAGTACCCCAGTATTTAACACGATGTACTGTGTTAAATAAAATAATATATATCATACTTATTCATTTATAAATATCCTTATTTGAAGAATAACTTTTAAATATCAGGATACTTTTAAAACTGAATGCTCATTTAAAATAATATCTATAAAGCGTAATTAAATAGGATGTTGTTCCATACACGCTTACATGTTTGACCTCGTTTACCGGATTACCTTTATGTACATTGTTATGCATCATTAATTCTATTGATAAAGATAAGCTAAGGACACCTCATCAAAGGTAACAAACCTGTAATCAGTGAATGATTTATGGCTTCAATATAACTTATTCAAGGGATAATTGTTTGACAGCTTGTTGTTATTTAAATAAAAGAAAACGTGTTTTTTCTACTTTTTATTGATGTACACAAGCTAAAGACCAAGCCGTACATTTATGTACCCAGAGGATTAGACTAACTGAGACACTTCAAAGTATCTGAAATATGCTGCTTCTGTTTTATTAAACCCAATTATGACCGAAATATCTTTGTGAAATAGATTGCCACAATTATAAACTAAAATGCCCAAACGGACATGCCCAAAGCCCCAAACGGACATTTTTATCGATCGATAGTTGGTAAAAATTGAAATGACCGTTTCATGAAAATGCCTTGAATAACAAAATGTGGCACACCAATTCTATTTGACCGTTTGAGGCTGAGAGCAGCCGGTCTTTTTATGAAAGTTTCGGTCAAGTCCGGAATATATGACCGTTTTGGAAGCCCTGCAATTACCCCCAAAATCAATCCCAGCCTTCCCTTTGTGGTATGATACCTTGCAGTACAATTTCAGAGAGATCCATACACTTGAACACAAGTTATTGTCTGGAAACTAAAAAAATGCTTATTTTTGGCCCCTTTTTGGCCTCTTATTCCTAAACGTTTTGGGCAATTACCCCAAACTCAATTCCAGCTTTCCCTTAGTGATATGGAACCTTGTAGTACAATTTCAGAAAGATCCATACACTTACACACAAGTTATTGTCATGAAACTAGAAAAATGCTTGTTTTTTGCCCCTTTTTTTGCCCCTAATTCCTAAAATTTTGAGCCAATTACCCCCAAAATCAATCCCAGCCTTCCCTTTGTGGTATGATACCTTGCAGTACAATTTCAGAGAGATCCATACACTTGAACACAAGTTATTGTCTGGAAACTAGAAAAATGCTTATTTTTGGCCCCTTTTTGGCCTCTTATTCCTAAACGTTTTGGGCAATTACCCCAAACTCAATTCCAGCTTTCCCTTTGTGATATGGAACCTTGTAGTACAATTTCAGAAAGATCCATACACTTACACACAAGTTATTGTCATGAAACTAGAAAAATGCTTGTTTTTTGCCCCTTTTTTTGCCCCTAATTCCTAAAATTTTGAGGCAATTACCCCCAAAATCAATCCCAGCATTCCCTTTGTGATATGGAACCTTGTGGTACAATGTCAGAGAGATCCATACACTAACACACAAGTTATGTCTGGAAGTTACAAAAATGCTTATTTTTGGCCCCCTTTTGGCCCCTAATTCCTTAACTGTTGGTACCATAACCCCCAAAATCAATCCCAACCTTCCTTTTGTGGTATTGAACCTTATAGTAAAATTTCATAGAGATCCATTTACTTAAACTAAAGTTAGAGTGCGAAAACCAATGTGTCTTCAGACGACGACGACGACGCCGGACAACGACGACGCCAACGTCATACCAATATACGATTTTGCGGTCGTATAAAAATCTCTTTAATAGAAACTTTATTTGTGTTTCAGCTATGTCTAAAAAGTAAATCAAACAGGGCAACCATTCATCCAAAACTGCTTGTTATATTACACTGAAAACAAAGACAATAAATATAAACAGATAACAGTATGCAGACAATTAAACTGCTTCCCATTTCAAGAGAAACAACTTATGTCCAGTCAGCTAAATGAGCTGTACCCATGAGAAAGCTGAGCTATTTGATATTATTCTATTTGACAAACACAAAACTTAATCATCAGAACCAATTGCATATTAGAGTAATAGCCTCAATAAAGACCAATGCTAGGTCAACTATGACAAACAATAAATGCATTATCTGGTATTTCACAATGAATAATATCTAACTTCTTGCTAAGCTTGGTTAACTGTAACCACACAAAATCAATTTGAGACACTCTAATTACAGATATGTCTTTAAATATTTTATGTAACCTATTAATCATGCAAAAACTAATATTCCTAAAATGGGCTCCTAGTCTTGCCTGCAATTATGGGAAAATACAAGAAACCAGAGGCTCAACTGTTACATAAGCATTTAATGTCAATATTTCCATCTGACACCAATATTGGGCAATTGACATCTAACAACTTGGAACTGCTTTAAGTCAAACAATTTTCACCAAAAAATTCTGAACCTTACAAATGGATTCCAACGTCAAACTAGTTATTTTGGATAGCATAAAAGAAGAATGTGTCTGTGTACACGAATGCCCCCTCTCAGGCTTTGCTATTTTCCAATTTGAAAAGGAGCAGAACTCTAGAACAGTAAATGACTCACAACCAAATTTATATCTTTGTCTGTTTGTTATGGTTCTAAGCATTGAGTATGAGTTTCATAAAATTTCATAAAATTTGGATAAGACAAACTTTAATAAGAGTGCAGAAACTGAAAAATTCACAATTTTCCAAGTTATATAGGGCATAACTCTAGAACGGTTAATAACATACTGCCAAAATTATATCTCTGTCTTTGTATTGTGGTTCTTAGCATTGGGTACGAGTTTCATAAAATTTGGAAGAGAAAAACTTAAGTTAGAGTAGAAACGAAGAAATTTGCAATTTACCAAGTTATGAAGGGTTCTGTTATAGAACAGTAAGTGACTCACTGCCCAAATTCAATCTCTGTTTGTGAGCTTTGGTTCTTGTGTATGAGTTTCATAAAATTTGGAAGAAATCTTAAGTTAAAGTGCGGAAAAGAAAAAAATTTGAAATTTTCTAAGTTATAAAGGGCATACTCAAGAACGGTAAGTGACTTTCTGCCCAAATTTGAACTCTGTCTGCAAGTTTTGGTTCTTACCATTGTGAATGAGTTTCATAAAATTTGGATGAGGAAAAATTCAGTAAGAATGTGAAAACTAACAAATTTGCAATTTTCCAAGTTATAAAGGGGCATAACTTTAGAATGATAAGTGACTTACTGCCCAAATTCCAACTCTGTCTGCAAGTTTTGGTTCTTATTAATGTGAATGCGTTTCATAAAATTTGGATGAGAAAAAACTTAGTTATAGTGCAGAAACAAAAAATTTGCAATTTTCTAAGTTATAAAGGAGCATAACTTTAGTACAGTAAGTGACTCACTGCCCAAATTCCAACTCTGTCTGCCAGTTTTGGTTCTTAGCATTGTTACGAGTTTCATAAAAATTGGATTAGGAAAACTTAAGTTAGAGTGCGGAAACAATAAATTGCTTTGCCGAGCGCAGCTGGATACGACTGCAGAGGTCCAACCCTGAACAGTTGGGGCAAAAATGGACACAATATTAGCACTTGATACAGGTCAGAATTTGGATTGTAATTAAATATTTGACACATACCAGTAATAGGTTTCTGACACAGAATAACTGTAGTCAAAGAACTTAGAATTGGTTATATGATTTGAATTTATATTCATTTTTTTGCTTTTGTGCAATACACTTTGCTGTTGAGAATTGACCCCCCTCCCCACACCAAAAAAAAAAAAAAATACCCCCCCCCCCCCTTTTTTTTTGCTTTTGTACAATACACTATGCTGTTGCATATTGACCCCCCCAACTTTTTTTTTGCAAAAAAAATAATATTTGAAGAAGTTTTCTTTTTAATTTCTGAAATTTGAAATAAGAAAAAATTGACCCCCACAATTTCTTTTTACCCCCCACCCACCCCTCCCCCTTTTTTGCCCCTCATTCCTAAGCGGTTTGAGCCATAACCCCCCAAAGCAAATCCTAACCATCCCTTTGTGGTATGGAACTTGTGGTATAATTTCAGAGAGATCCATACACCGTTCCACAAGTTATTTCCGGAAACTAGAAAAATGCTTATTTGGGCCCCTTTTTGGCCCCTAATTCCTAAACTGTTAGGACCATAACCCCCAAAATCACTCCTAACCTTCCTTTTGTGGTTATAAACCTTGTGTTCAAATTTCATAGATTTCTAATTAATTATACTAAAGTTATTGTCCGGAAACCAAATGTCTTCGGACGACGCTGACGACGACGATGACGCTGACGACGTGATACCAATATATGATCGCAAAATCAAAATGGGACAGAAAGAAGGACAGAAGAAAAGACTGACGGTCAAGGGTAACACTTAATGCCCCCATTGCCTACGGTGGGGACATGAAAAACACCCAACATTTTTATTGCAAATGTTCCACAATTCATTAATTTATATAAAAATTTTGACGGTGTTTTTATCAAAGGATAACATATGATAAATATACATGTTCAAAGTGAATTAAAGAACAATATAGTAGAATGGTAATAAATTATGTACACGATTATTAGTATTGATTGGAATCAAAGTAAACGACAATCATCAAATTACTAAAAGGAAAAGGTTATACCTATAAAATTTCAATTAAGAGATGGTGGTTTGTATAAAACAGTTATAAAACTTCATCAATTTGTATAGGATTCCAAACAATGCAATTAATTTGTCACAGCAGAAATCACTTCAATATTACTGAAATCAAAACAGAAAATAATTCCAACTATTATGCAATTGAAAAGACAAGTTATTCTTCAATAAATTTGCTTTTTTATCTAGGAATTTTCAACAATAAAGACATTAAACTGTTCACTCCGAGATATGTCTCTCCTTTTTTCATTTGATAGTATGATGCACTTGTTGCAATTAAAGTTACAATACTAAAACTTGTAAACTATACAAAACATTCAAAGCCAACCCTGAATGAAGGTGCAGGGCCAAATTACCTCCATTGAAATGATAAATGCCAATGCTTATAAAACTGAATACAAAATACCATGAACTTATCATAATTGAATCCCTTTAAACTAACCTGAACATAAACTTTAACTTGTAAACTATGCTCAATTTCAAAGTCAACAAACCATGATGAGAGGGCTGATCCATATAATATCCATGGAAATGAGAGGGCGGATCCATATAATATCCATGGAAATGAGAGGGCTGATCCATATAATATCCATGGAAATGAGACTTGTAAATGATAATACCACTGCATATCAAATATTATTGACTTAACATTAGTGGTTCATCTTAAACAGATTAATCACAAACCAATACATGTAAACTAAGCAAAAGTCAATAGACCATGAATGAGGTGAGGGGCCAAATAATCTCCATGGAAATGTGATGTACCAATGCTACTAAAATAGTGGTTCCCCATAAACTGACCTAATCACAAACTAATACACTATTGATTCCTCTTCCCCCTGCTGGAAACTGCATGCCTTATTCTCACTTTTTCTAATTCTTTGAAGAAAGACAACAAGCTGTTAACATTTTTCTACCATAAAGTTGTTTATCATGGTAATGCTCCATTCAATCACATTACCCATAAATCCATTAATTATCAAAGAAACACAGTATGATGTGTATGAAGGACATACAGGTTTGATGTATACAAAAACATACCTTCATTTTGTCTTTTATTTCTTGTATGTCACTTGCTAGATCATCACTGACAGGAATACCATAGAACTCTCCCTCCTCCTGACTCAGCAGTTTAAACCAGCCATCGTGTGTTTCCTTTATCACCTCGGTTATCCCAAATGATAATGATCCCATGAAATCATTCCTTGAGGTACGATCCCAGTCCCATATTTCTATTGAAAGGCGTTTCGCATGGTCTTCTTGACTAAGATCACTACACAAAATATATTAAATACCAGATCACTTGTTAAAAGATTTAAACATAAAAGATAAAAAATATAAAATAAAAAAGTTTACTTATATACAGGTAGTTCAAAATGTCTGATTTCATAGCATTTGTAACAGACTATGGATCTCATGGAAACATGCTTCATATGTGCCTGTACCATGTCAGGGGCCTGAAATTCAGTGTTTGTCATTTGTTTTGGTTTTTTATATGCCATTATATATTTATTCACCAAATATGCTTGTTACATTGTTACAACAAAAGTCCAAGCTTTCCTTGATGTATCCTGTAATATTCCACTGATTACCCAGGTTAGTAATCAGCTGTTGATATATCACAGAAAGCTGAATTTTTTAGTTGCCGAGTGGTCTTGAGCGCTGGACACAGTGCAGGCGGTGTTGTCACGACATCCCAATAGCATGAGTTCGAATCCCGGTGAGTGAAGAACAAAAATTTGCTTCCGAAAATTTTCAGTATTCAACCTGACAGCTTTCAACCAACAGCTGTGGCTATCTTGTGTATAACAGGTTTAACCCCACCACAATCTGTCCTGTATCAAGTCAGGCTACCTTGACCATGTGCATTTCGTTGTTTGATTCGTTGTTTGATTGTACATCTATTTATTCTGAGGTGGCCGGTTTTGGTAGTTGGTGTGTCTGTAATTTTTGGTAATTCCTGTTATCCTTTTATATGTATATATATAAATTGTGTACTATCCAATTAATTTGATATTAGGGTTATCTTGCTTTAAGGTGTAGGCTCTTTGTATCATTGTTAAAAGACCTTTCTGGAAAGCCTTTAATGGTTGAACTTCAAATGGAGATATTTCTTTGAAGACCTTTCTGTATCAGCCTCTAACTGTTGTAAACTTGTTATGTATATGATTCTGTTGAAGACCTTTCTGTATCAGCCTTTAACTTTTTGTAAAATTGCAATGTATATGATTCTGCTGAAGACCTTTCTGTATCAGCCTTTAACTGTAAAACTTACAATGTAAATGTTTCATTCCACTCTGGATTGAGGTTAGTTTTCACTGTCTTTGTTTTCTTCTTAGTTTTATTGTTATCATCTGGTATTAATTTAATTTTAACATAAGGATCTGCTAAACCATTTGGGTCCATAGGATTTAAGTTCCTGGCTTCTACAACTGAAATTATAAGTTTGTAACCATAACAATCTGGACAAAATAGTTCTTGGCATTTAGGAGTATTGCAAAAATAGTTTTACAAGAAAGGTTGATGTCTTTCTCAATGTTTACCGTTAACTACTTTAATATATATATAAACTGTTGACACACATATGTCTCGCCTGTTGACAGAAAATTCAGAAAAAGACAATCTGATGGACAGCAACATTACTAATTAATTAAAGTTGCTGGACCACGACCTTGGGGGCAGTGCTTCGAAATGATTGCCAAACTGAGATGAAGTGATAGTAATGAAACTTTTTAACCTTATAACTTTCACAAATGTGACCTATCGAATTAGACTTATCACCGGGTTTGTACTTACATGAGCAACACGAAGGGTGCCACATATGATGCAAGATCTGCTTACCCTTATGGAGCACATGAGATCACCCCATTTTTTGGTGGGGTTTGTGTTACTTAGTCTTTAGTTTTCTATGTTGTGTTTTGTGTCCTGTTGTTTGTCTTTTTCGTTTTTTGCCATGGCGTTGTAACTTTATTTTCAACTTATGAGTTTGAATGTCCCTTTGGTATCTTTCACCTCTCCTTTATAGAAAATATCATTGATCTATCACAAGTACTTCCTATGAAACTATTCAACTTAAGCTGGAAACTAAACATTGAAAATTGCTAATTAATTCAAAGTCACTAGACCATGACCTAGGGGGCAGGGCCTTGAATTTGATAGTAATGCAACTTTATAGAAAATATCATTGATCTGTCACAAGAAGTGCCAGAAATGCAACAATTAATATGTGTTGCCTTCTGCAACTTTCGTTGCAGGCGAGACAAAAACTACAATATCAAATTATATGAAAATATATCTATGTTTAAAGTGCTGAAAATGTAGATAACAGGTCAGGATCTTTTTCAGTTGGTTACTTATATCATAATGTTTGTGTCTGTTATTTGATGGCAGATCTTTGTTAGTCTCTGTTTAAGTCATTCACGTTCTTTTAGACTCAGGATGATTTAGAATTTGGAATATAGTAAAAACATCTGTATAATTATTGAAGATCACAAGTTGACCTCTCAATGTCTTTTAATTATTTGTATTGTTGGTTTGCTATCTCATTGTGGTATACCTGACACTGCCTTTTATTTCTAACACAAGAGTGCACAGGCTGAAATGTCTCGCTTGTTTTACTGACCATTGATGATTTTATGTTAAAAGTCTTAAAGATAAATGTTTTACTACAAGTATTACATTTTTAAAGATCCATGACAATGAGGTCAAGGTCAGATGAATCCTGCCAGACAGATATACAGCTTACAATCATTCCACGCCAAATATAGTTGACCTATTGCTTATGTCAATTGAAAAACAGACCAAAACACAAAAAACTTAACATTGACCAATGAACCATGAAAATGAGGTCAAGGTCAGATTATACCTGCAAGACAGACATGTACACTTTCATTGCAGGTGAGACAAAAATTACAAAAGTACCAGGTGCATCCACAGTTATGTGATCTTTATGAATTTAGTTTTGTGTCCTACGTGCTGCTTTTGTGTTTTTTTGTATGTTTTGGTGATGAAAACTATAATCTGCTGACTATTTCTGTCAAATGTTTGGAAAACCCCAAAAGAATTGTGCTAATTATAGTCTATTGATTGCTGATGTGACCTTAAAATTTAACCCAGTGACAATCTATTGGGGTCTTTTTCAACCTGGGGCAATTTATCCACAAAGGATTTGTAATCATCTAGTTGATAGCAAAGATGTTGTCCAGAAATTAAACTTTCACCAAAACTGCAGTCTACTTAAAGACACAGTGGCCTTGATATTTAACTTACTGACCCAAAAATATCTACTGGGGTCTTTGTTTCCAAAGATTCTGATAGACTAATTCATAGTGCAGGAATTCTAATGAGGATATAATGAGGATAAATATAAAGTACAATATTAAAGAGGAATAAAAAGGGAGGCGATGGATACCAAAGGGACATTCAAACTCACAAGTTGAAAATAAACGGACAACGCCATGGCAAAAAAGAAAAAGACAAACAAACAATAGTACACAAAACACAACAAAGACAAGCATTCTGAGAGTATTGCCTGGCAATACATAGTTCCCTACCGGTTAAAAATTTATTGTACTGGAACAAAATGCTAAATTGATCTATAACTTGTCATGGTGTAAACTATATTACAAATATCAAGTCAATATCTGCAATCATGACGAAAAAAAATGTGGAAAATTGATTATTTGAGTGAATTTTCTAAGTCACAATCAAGAAAAGGGAACAGGATTGAAGTTACGACAATTGGAACAAATCCATTGTCATCTGTGAAACGGATATTCCATAACGGTCAACCAAATCGTGATGGTGTACATAGCATTTACGAAGGGACGATTTCAACTTCACCACTTGGAACTCATGGTTTAATAGCTTCCTTGTGAGCAGCAACCCTCAATCAAGGAAATCATAATAGGAATTACAAGCCCTGGAATAAAGATTATCATTAACACAACATGTGAGCAGAACTTACTTGTGATCTTAAGCTTGCCATTCTGGTAGGAAACTGATAAATTGATTCTACCACGTCTTTCTGTGTGGTCAACTCCACATAACTTTGGAACGTTCTTTTCACATCTTTTATGTACATTCATGTCACATGCTGTAATATGGAAAAAGTTTTACTTATATGAAGATACCAAATATCTTAATATATGTGAAAGTTTCAAGGATATATAGGAGTCAATGTTAAAGTATTATTGAACACACAAAGATGCATACAAGTGGACAGGGATGATACTCAGCTACTCAGCCCTTATTTGACACAAAGACTCAAAACATTACTGATGCTATTGAGAGTAGTTTTTTTTATAAAATGAGAAATAATTCAAAGCCCTAAAGTGCTAAAAAGGCAGTTTCTACCTACAAATGGAATCCATAGCAAGGTGCTGACTTAATATGAAGTCTTTTTGTTTAGTAGTTTAAGAAAAGCGTGAGGAAAATGTTTGTATTCATTCAAAAAAAATTCAAAGTATAGGCAAACAGGAAGTGGGTGTCCCATAGATAAAAAATGGGTTCATTATTTTCAAGCTGATTACTAAAAAATATGTTTTAAGAAAAATTTCAATCAATAAACATGTATTAAAATATTTGAAGGATGATAAGGCAAACAGAAGCAGGTGTCTGGCAGATCAGAAAAGTTCTCACACACCATAACTCTTCACTGTCAAGCAACTGGCCATATACAAAGACTTTCTGTCCACGTGGTTCCTGATAAAGTGTAACAACAACAAAATTTCTTGGACTAACTGAAGGACAAACAAACAGACTGACGGACAAGGTGATTGCAATATAACACCACTTTTAGGGGGTATCAAAAAGAAAGAACCTTTGTGTGGAAGCTCAAATAATGTTTTTTTTCTAAGTCCCCATCCAGAAAAAATATTTCTCACTTTCAGATTTTCTTGATTGCCTAACTTATCCCTGATTCCGATGAGTGTACATTATCTAAAACAGGGAAAGACAAATGAAGAGACTAGAATGGTGACAAGAAATAATATGGATTACTTCCAAAGTCCTCCCTCCCCAAAAGATGTTCCCAAATTCAGATTTTTCTGGTTGACTAACTCAATTGTTGCAATGATGAGAGGAATCCAATTTACAAGAGGATATGAAGAAAAGGAAAGGCACTAGCATGTTGACAACATAGTGATGATGGATGAACTTTTGCATCAGAAACATTATACCCTCCACAAATTATATGAAATTTGTTTTGTGGAGTACATAAACAAAAAAAGTACTTTGTCTTTATCTTGAAACAATTAAATATTCCATGTAATCGAGCCTATGGCAATGCATGACTTTTATTAATGTGCTTCAAATGTCTTAACCTGATATTATAAAGACAGGAAATGTATTGGTGACTTTTAGCTAAGTGTCTCTCTGTCGTGTCATAACTTTATGTGACATATTTATAATTTAATTGGGAAAGAAATATTGTTCAAATGCCATGTTCCTTAAAGGTACATTTACTACATTTAAATCAATATAATGTTACCTACGTAACTTGTATTTTAATCATTTAAAGCACCTGTAAAGAACATTTTACAGTATTTTTTTACAAGACCATGTAAATGCCTCCCTATAGCCATTGATGATAAGTAGCCTTTTCTACTATTTCTCTGATGTAGGGGGCGGCAATTAATCTCCAACATCTTTATTCCCATGGAACAAAGTTTGGCATTTGATAAATCAGTTCCGATCACTAATAAACAATATCAAAACAACAGTGCCATTAATATAATAGAAATTACAAGGTAACTGAGGACTGAAGTACAATCAGATAAAATGGCCACCATTATCATTTTCTACTTTTCTGTTGTAAAGTTAACCTGATCTTTATTTGAAGTTAGTTTATTAGTAGTGTTGCATGGTTATTATGATGCTAATTTCATACAAGAACGTATCATGTTATTTTTAAATTGATATGCATGCTTTTTGAGCTTTCAACCTATACAAAATCAATTCTATTCAGGCATATTAAAGCGCCATCAACTTTGATGATTTACATAAAGTTTTTGCTTCAAACATTACTGAATTAGTTTACACTATAGTCTATAATATATGCATTCAGATAAAATTTCTCATTATAAGTAAAATACAAACTGCTATAGGCAAATGAGAAAGAAAAATACTTTTAAATTCATTTGCAAAATTAATAGATTATATGGTTTAAAAGTAAGCATACTGTCATATAACCAATGTGAAAATAAGTATATTGTGGATAAAAAAAACCAAATTACTGATATTCTACCCTTGGGAAAATGCAATTCAAAGCTTTATGTGATTTCCTGGGACATTTCTTTCTTTGCATACATACAAGTAGTACAAAAAAATTGTAAAAAAAAAATAATGCATGAATTATTTATAACACAAACCAAGAAAGTTGGTCGCCTGCATATTTCTCTTGGTATTGTTAAGTCAACTCTAAAGGAGTAGGTCCGGTAAGGGCAGATTTTGGCCTCAAAATTCAGGTTCATCTGATGAAAGATTTTTGACACTTTTTAAACACTTAAGTAGACAAGAGTGCACACGCTGAAATGTCTCGCCTTCTTTACTAATCATTGATATTATGTTGATAGTCCTAAATATAAAGCTTTATTACAACTGTCACATAAACTTAACATTAACCAAGTAAACTAAACATTGACCAATGAACCATGAAAATGAGGTCAAGGTCAGATGAACCATGCTAGGCAGGCATGTACAGCTAACAATTCTTCCATACATAAATATATATAGTTGACCTATTGCTTATAGTTTAAGAAAAACAGACCAAAACACAAAAACTTAACACTGAGCAATGAACCTTGAAAATGAGGTCAAGGTCAAATAAAACCTGCGTGACTGACATATAGATCATAAAATATTTCCATACACCAAATAAAGTTGAACTATTGCATATAGTATTAGAAAAAAAGACCAAAACTCAAAAACTTAACTTTGACCACTGAACCATGAAAATGAGGTCAAGGTCAGAGGACACCTGCCAGCTAGACATGTACACCTTACAATCATTCCATACACCAAATATAGTAGACCTATTGCATACAGTATAAGAAAAATAGACCAAAACATAAAAACTTAACTATAACCACTGAACCATGAAAATGAGGTCAAGGTAAGATGACACCTGCCAGTTGGACATGTACACCTTACAGTCCTTCCATACACCAAATATACTAGACCTATTGCTTATAGTATCTGAGATATGGACTTGACCACCAAAACTTAACCTTGTTCACTAATCCATGAAATGAGGTCGAGGTCAAGTGAAAACTGTCTGATGGGCATGAGGACCTTGCAAGGTACGCACATACCAAATATAGTTATCCTATTACTTATAATAAGAGCGAATTTAACATTACAAAAAATCTTAACTTTTTTTTCAAGTAGTCACTGAACCATGAAAATGAGGTCAAGGACATTGGACATGTGACTGACGGAAACTTCGTAACATGAGGCATCCATATACAAAGTATGAAGCATCCAGATCTTCCACCTTCTAAAATATAAAGCTTTTAAGAAGTTAGCTAACGCCGCCGCCGCCACCGCCGGATCACTATCCCTATGTCAAGCTTTCTGCGACAAAAGTCGCAGGCTCGACAAAAATGAAAGGATATGGAGTAAATGTACATGAGACAAAATCGCACATAATACATAGAAAACATAGAAAATTATCAATGAACACGGCTTTTATTCCTGTTCTTCATCGATTCAATTAGTTTATTTGAAAGATTTGAACTGATTTAGTCATTAAAGACGCTCAAATTCAAGCTTAAATATGAAAAATCTATCAAATATGCCATAATATGTCACTTTTCAGATGGTTTTTGTCAAAAATGAAAGTGGCCGCATCCGTGTTCATTCTCAACCTTTATATATGTTATGTATAATCATCAAATACAACTTACATTTAAATATTAAGAATGAACACAAATGCGGCCACTTCCAATTCAGACGGAAACCGTCTAAAAATTAACCAAAATGCTAAAATTTTGAAGATTTCAGTAATTCAGCATGACTTAATGATGCTAGTACCCGATACATGTGCAGTGTATTGTCAAAAACAGCCCATATTTATATAACAGAAGTATTCTTCTTTCCAATAAAAAGCTAAAAATTTACATTTTAACAATTTTGTAAAACTGCTATATTTTGGGGCCAAAAAGGGGTCTTACTGGGCCTACTCCTTTGGTCTTACTGTTTTAATTAGATTTTGTACTAACATTTTAGAAATACTATCTTAATTAATGGTGACAATTTCTGTTGATTGGTAGGAGACTATCATAGGACCTGCAAACAGTAGTGTATATAATGACCAGTTTTCTATTTACAACAGCCCTCCCCCTCCCCTCTTCTTCTTAAATAGTTAAGACTGCCACTATGGTTAGTCAGCAGCATCATAAACAACTAAACAAGTGCGAGTTCAACTGCCCTTGCAGTCAGATGACATTTTTCTAAAATGTTACAATAAATGTCAATGAATATAAATATCTCAATAGGTTATATGGTCCTAACAAACCATATGAGCTAATGACTGCATATCAATTTTCTGCAAACATTGACACAATTAAACAAATACTTATAAACCCCTTCCTTGTTCCATGGATTTCAAGAAAGCATACAAAATAGTGATGTCCACTGACAATAATTCTTTTCTAAATTGACAAGTAAAATAAGAATCTAATAAATACAGTGATTTGTATATGGAAAATGTAGAAATATCTGGACAAGGCTATTATCTGAGAGCCATAATGATCCCAGTGTTCTCTGCTACAGAACATAATTACCTTTTCTTCTCACAATAGAAAGAATATGTTTCTCTGAGGAATTAGATAGATATGAAAACTGAACGAAGGGAAGAATAGTGACATCAGTATAAGAATGTGTTGATGGAATTTAATAAATCAAAAGTTGGACGTTCAAGTATTTTACTGAATAAGGGCATAAATTAAAATATTAACTCTAATTTTTTGTCAGAACATTATTGGGTTATTGAGATGAAGATACGGTACATTTGGTCTGAAGCAATTCTATGACATCTTATATGTCTTATTACCCCTGAAATGTTTAAACTTAAGACCTCAAACTGAAGCATGA